AGGGAATTCCCTGTGAGACCACCACAGTGTCTCCCCAGCTCTGCTGCTCTTGGACTCTCGAGAGCTGCACAAAACTCCTAACACTGCACATTGCAACTGCAGAATGTAACTGGGGAAACAGCCGCATCCTGTTGCTGACGCTAACTTTCATGAATGATGCTTGCATAGTCTTTAATCTGATTTAGAGACATATGTATAAAGATTGCTGGTGTGATTCCAGAGACCTGCTTTTCCATCAAAGCAGCACTCCACCAATCCCAGCTGTTGTCTTCACAACCTGTCTATTTCCCTAACCTCCCATTGCCCCTCGCAAGAACCTGCTAGTTTGGCCATGCTGGTCGTGGCACCCAGAGGCTACCTGTGGGCCACTGGCCAGGGCTGGAGGGCCAGAGCAAAGGTGCGGGGGCTGCTGGGATCATTGAGGGCCCATTATGGCCAGCCATGCTGTAGCCTGGTTGAGACTAGGCTTCTGTTGGCAAGAGAGGCAGTGTGGGCAGGAGGTCTGTATGGAGTGGGGTGATGCTTCCACGAGCTGCCTTGCTGTAGGTCCCTGGGGGGGCCACTCAGCCCTGGTCCCCCCCCCCCCCCAGAGCCCCCTGTTGACGATACATGATGGGCAGGAAGAGATGTGAAAAACCTTGTTGTTTACAATGCAGGAGACAGAAGAGACACCTGGGACCCTCAAAGGCCTGGCCACTTCCCAGACACCTCCCAGGGGGTGTCCCCGAGCACAGCACCTGGGCAGCGCCGAGGAAGGCTCACCTACCTAGTCTGCACCTCCGCTCCTGGGCAGCTCTCTCCTGGCTGGCCGGGGGGCTTTCAGGAAGACACAGGGAGTGCAGAGGCCAGCACCCTCCAGGTGGTCTCCTGTGGGGAGTGATGGGATATACTGAAGAAGTCTCTTGAGTCTGGTACAGCCACACCCAGGTCCTGAGACCTTGAATAACACCTAGTTGCCAAGCCTTGTGACATTTTCTCAAATCTCAAATGATACCTCTTCCCTGATTGTGGTTTTGGCCATAGCCTCAGGCTCCTCATTCCTCAAGGTGATTGTCACTGATTTCCCCTGGGAGCTGCCAGCCCCAACACCTCATCTGCAGCTCCCAGAGGCACTCCTGGGCCTGCCGAGGGCCTGCCGGGCTGCATGCAGGGCAGCCGCTGACCAGGACAGCAAAGGAGCAGGCCCAGGGAGACTGGAGCTGCCCAGGCATGTGGCCTGGTCTTGGACCTGCACTCCACGGCACACTTGTGACTATGTTCTTGAGTGGCTGCTGCTGGGGAGGGACGACCTTGGCTGGGTCCCAAAGACAGGGTGAGTGGCAGCTGTCCAGCAGGTGTGGCGAGCTTCCAGTGAGGTATGTGACCCAGCTCAGCAGGAGGCAGAGCAGGCAGGGGTGGTGACATAGCTCCTGTCTTCTGGTCATCTTCCACTTTCCCAAAGTCCTGTGGCATGCCTGAATACATCGTCACAAGGGCAGTCTTCTGTTAGTCCCTCAATGGGTAGTTTGCTATTTGGGCCAATCTCAGAAAATGAGATCACCTCAGAAAATGCTTTAGCTGCCGTAACTCCAGTCTAAGGGTGACCACTGCTGGGGTGTTGGACAGGACCTTTCTTGTTTTGTTATTATTATTTTTGAGTCAGAGTCTTGCTATGTTGCCCAGGCTGGTCTCATACTCCTGAACTCCTCCTGCCTCTGCCTCCCAAGCAGCGGTACCACCGGCATGGCCCTCCATGCCAGCCCAGGGCCAGCCTCCCTCCTGAAGGCTGTACCACAGTGTGGTTCCGGGCCGAACTCTTCACGTGCATCATCTCACTCATTTCATGATTTGAGAGAAACGTTTGTAATGCAGATTAACAGAGTTGGCTTCATCTACCAAAATAACAGGTCCTTAAAATCGACAGTAAAAGCAACAGGAACACTTTGGTGGAGAAATGGGCAGAGGATGTAACAGGCAGTTCTCAGCAGTGCAAATCAGAACCACCGACAGCATGAACAGGCGCTGGGCTCCTTCACAGGACCACAAGCTGTAGCAGTACCCAGGAGCGCTGATTAATAACTGAGGCGGTTGGGGTGCACACAGTCCAGCGGGCACAAGAGACTGCTTGTCCATGTGCATAGGGCAGGGGTCCCCTCTACACCTCTGTCTCCGGGGCTGGATGACGTCAGGGAACAGAGGTGCAGAGGCCAGGTCACTTCCAGTGGGTCACACGGGAAGTCTAGCACCTGTGGCTCAGCCCACTGACCTGTTACAGCACAGCCTCACAGCTCCACTGTCTTAAGGGTGGGCTGGGCACACGGATGCAGAGGGGACAATGTGCTCATCCACCCTACACCTGGTCCTACGGAGTGCCCGTCACCCCACGCCTGTACACCTCAACATCTGGCCCGACACCACAAGGCCTCTTTCCTCTTGGCTGTTTGGAACCCTGAGCCCCAAGCTGCAGGAGGGCAGGGTCTCATATCTGCCCAGGGAACACCGAGGTGGATGGATGTGGGCTGGGGCAACGTCTGGTGCAGAGGAATGCCTGCAATCTCTGGGTGGAAACAAATGGTGAAGGGCCAATGAGCACACAACCAGCTGTTCCTACACTTGCCCGAGGACAGTCACCTCAGCAGCCTGACACTCCAGGCTTTGCCTTGGGGCACTGTGGGTCCTAGTAGGTCTGGCTCCCTCACAACCAGAGCCTGAGGACAAAGGTGCTGCCTAGAGACTGGGTCTGATTCCCACTGGTGAAGATTCCGTTCCTGAGGTGCAAACTTCTCACGCTGCTGCTGTGGCTAGGTGTCCCCCTGGGCCCCTAGAGACTTCTAAGCCCAACTCCTCACCCAGGGCTGGGAGGCAGCCACTGGCTCCTTGCTGCTGGAGCCCTGCACCTGTCCATCTTGCCAGGGGCCCCTGGGGCAGCTGACAGGACTCCCGGGAGCCCCTTAGCAGGGCACCCACAGGGTACCTGTGGAGAGCTTTGCCAACTCCTGCCTGGTGCCCACAGTCCATGCTCTGTAGGTAGGGACCATCACTTAGGAGAAACTATCACACTGAAAGGTGATGAGGCTGCCATTTCCAGTTAGGGCTCAAGTCCAGGGCTAATCAGTTGCACATAGGACCACCCTGGGACTGTGGGTTCCTAGGCCCAGCCAGGCCGATGACATCAGGACTTTCTGGGTGTGGGCCTGGAACAGTCTTAAAGGCTCCTCCAATCTAAGTGGGCCTGGACACCAAGGGTGGGGGGTGGGTGGCCTGGGAACCTTGGCAGCTTTGGCCCTGCCTATTCTGGTGGCAGGCTAGAGGGAGCCGTGGGGGGTCAGCAGCTCTGCTGCCTAAGCTGCTACCTCAGGGCCAGGACACTCTCTAACCAGCCCCCAAGGAGAGGCCTCTCCTACCTCAAGAACACTTTCGAGACTCCCACAGACAAGGCTCTGCTCAACTCTAAGCTCAAAAACTGAAGTCTGAGGCTTCCTACGTGGGTTCCTAAGCTTAGGTGGTCTGTGGGTGAAGGTCCACGGAAGGTCCCGGCCCTTCATTGAAACAGCCCAGATCAGCCACAGAGGAGAAACCTCCTCACACCCACTAGAATGGCTACTGAAAACAGGCCCAACAAGACAGGGCCAGAGGACGAGCCCCACGCACACTGGAGGGAAGAGTGGAGTGGCTGCTGTGGGAAGGTCTCACACCATCATCTACTTCTGGGTGCACAGGACAGGGAGAAGGGTCCCTGAAGATACCAAGCACCGTGTCCACGACAAGCTGCTCAATAGCCTGATCTGGTCCAGCACCTGCAGAACTGTGGGCAGATCACCCTTGGCTGAGAGTGCCCGCCTGGGGGGTCCTGTCCCGCAACRCAGAATGGACTCAGGAGAAGGAACGTTTCCAGTTTGGGAAGGGGACTGGGAAGGTGCCTCATGCATTCCTGTTAAGTCTCACATGACTGAGGATGGAAGGTCATGGGCACAGCTGCAGGGCTGCTGAGATGATTTTGTCACTGTCACCGAGAAACCAGAAAGGAGAGAGTAAGTGAAAATGAACTACTCTGAGAGGAAAGTAGGTATGAACCTGGCCATGCTTGAGGCAGGGCCAGGGGTGCCAGGAACTGTGGCTGGCTGGCCCCATTCGTGGACGCCCTACAGTCTCCTGTTTCAGTTAGAATGACTCTGCAGCCTGATCCTCTTCCTTGGTCTTGGCGAAGCACCCCCAGGCCCAGGATGGCCCCTGCTGCTGACCAGTACCACCCACGGGCCACGATGGTCCTTGCCTCTTACCAATACCACCTCCAGGGCCAGGATGGCCCCTGCTGTCGACCAGCACCACCCGCAGGGCAAGTGCACCCTAGGACGGCCCCATCTGCAGGGCGAGTGCACCCCAAGACGGCCCCTCATGCTGCCCGGCATCACCCACAGAGCAAGCACTGATGGACGCAGGTGGTTCCCTAGGGACCAGGACCTCAGCAGAGTGAGGGTGTGCTGAACCTCAGCCTGCTCCTGCACCTCATGCCCAGGGCCTGGGTGGGCTGACACCTGGCAACACTCAACTGTAAGATCACCTGGAGGTCTCCACCTAGCAGGCTGTCCCTCTTCAGGAGGGACCCCACTCCTGTGCCCAAGCCTTGCTGAGTCTGGAAGACCCCACCATGAGGTCCTGGTTTCCACTAGTTTTGCCTGTGTGCGCAGAGGTGGCACGGCTGGGTCCCACCACAGGTCGATGCCCTGTCTCCCTGGCAAGGCCCACCTTGAACCCCTGACCACAGCCCAACATACTTCCACACCTAGGCTGGCCTAGGTCCTCCCACACGCTGTCCGGCACTGGTCTGCAAGGGGCACTGTAGGGGCAGGCGGGAGAGGCAGTGGGCTAGATCTCCCAACACATTCCCAAACCAATGCAGGAGGAAGGCCCTGAGGCCCAACTGCCAAGAAACTCCTGCTTCAGACTTCTCAATTTCAAACACAGAAACCACAAACAGGGGAAAAAATTCTAGAAACAGTGTTTTTTTCTTCCTCCTAATAGCTAGTCCGCAATGTTTATTATCAAGCCTGAGCTGGAACAACACCAGACAAAAGCAGAAACTGCCTCTGGTGCCACCAAGCGCCTGCACTGGTCCTCTCAGTGGCTCTGGTCTGAGAAGGGTGCCTGCTGTGGTGCTGGGGGCACAGCTGGCAGAGCCCAGCCCCAGTGGGGAACTTGGGCTTGGTGGGAGTGAGCTGCTGGACCCTGGAGAGGTGCTCCCAGCCGTGGGACCAGTCTGGTCTGGGCACAGCAGCAGGGCCAGGGCCCCACCCCAGGCACAAGGTGCCACGCTGCTCTCAGCCTGGAGTCCTGGGGCAGCAGTATCCATGTTCCTGCTCCTTAGGAGACCCCAGTACTGGGCTTGTCTGGGATTCTGCTGCCAGGTCTCCTGCAAGAAGAGGGAAGCCCTGGCCCCATGGGGACACAGGAGACATCAGGAACCTCGTTAGAGACCCCGAGATGGTAAGCAAGGATGAGTGCTGCTGGTGCCCAGCCCATGGCAAGCTGCTTTCTCTGCCCTGGAGCTGGAGCTTCTGGTGCTCTTGGGTGAGGGCCAAGCCATGCCTGTGAAGCCTCCTGGTGGGCAGCTGTGCAGCAGTGACCATTGCTACCTCAGGGGCTGCTTGAGCTCAAACAGGCCTGTTCCACCCTTGACGACCTTCCCGACCACGAGGCAGGCTGAAGGGGACCTCAGCTCGTCATGGGACCCTGCAAGAGACACGAAACCCATTTCAGAGGGCCGAGGTTAAGTTGGGTGTGAGGTGAGGACACTGGGGACTTCACGTGAGGTGGTGTGACTGGGCCCAGGACCTTAGTCCCTGAGGTTGAGGTCATGTGTGTGGGTCTGCTCCAGGGGGAGCTTCAGGAAGGCTGCCACCCTCTACCCAGAGCCCGCCCTCGCATGTAAGGTGCAGTGGAAAGGTCCCCATGCGAGGCCAGGAGGCATGCCTGGCACCAGCCCTGCACTGACCCATCATGGTGGCCTGCTTCAGAAACTGGAAACTGGTCTCAAATGTCATCTGCTGGAGAGGGGAGGAGTTCGACTGGATGCCAAAGCGATTCAGGGGCTTGTAGACCCCCTCGAAGCACATGTAATCAGCAACCAGGGAGAGATGGCGAGGATCGACGGCAATGCCTGTGGTCAAGCAGAGATGGAGGACGCTGGCCAGACTGCCTCCAAGTCGGCACTGGGGCCTGGCCAACGCTGGGCTCTCCTCAGCTCCCTGTCCCCTTCTGCCTCCCACCAACCCCTGCAGCAGTGTAGGATGCGAGAACCAACCACAGTTCTCCCTGGGAAGGGAGCCCGGCGACAGGACAGGCCAAGCCCTGCAGGGAGCTCCCTGAAGAGATGGCAGACCAGACGCAGCCAGGGCCTCGCTGCCAGCACTCTGAGGGGCTGCACCCTGAAGGTCTCCCTAGGCGCTCGTACCATACACGGCAAATACGTCCTTGATCTCCTTCTCAATCACCCGCAGGGCGGCCTCGATGCCATACGCGCTGGCCATGGCATGGATGTCATTGGAGTAGAGGCGGCGCAGGTCCAGCACCTGAGGATAGAAGGAAGGAGTACTGCCCTGACCCCCACCCTTGGAGCTGGTGGCCGGGTGCAGCATGGCAGGAGTCAGGAGAGGCAGGCTGGCCATGCTCCAACTGCTGGCTGTTCACAACCAGAGTGCAGAGGTTCAGGGTGGAGGGACCTCCTTCACTACTCCTCTAACACACCCTAGAGGAGGAGAGCCCCCTCAGCAGACGACTGCACAGGCCTCCTCAGGGTGCACGGCAGACAGGTCGGCCACGGGGTTCTACAAGGCCTTGCCAAGGCCTGTGGCTCCAAGCCTCCTGCAGGCACCCAGGCTGGAGGGGGCATGGCCTCAGCAGAAGCCACTGTCCACAGGAGCCAGGAGGGACAGGCACCTGCCTGGTCCTTGTTCAACACACCCTGCGAGGGAGCCACGTGGAGCCTCGAGGCTGGCTGGGGGAATGCGGGCTCTTCCTGCTCAACCTAAGGCTCCTCAGACTTTGGAGAAACCCTGGTACCCATGAGCAGGCTGGGGGTACCCAGGTGAGCAGGGCAGCAGTTTCTAACAAGTACTTTCAAAAGGTTGTAATTTCAAGAAATAAAATTGTACTCAGACGGGTCTGGGAAACTCGGTCTACTCAGCAGGCTGAGGAGGGGCGTGCCCAGGAGCCCCAGAGGGGGCGAGGGCGCACACGGGGTCCGGCAGGGGCACAGTACCTCAGCATACTTGAACAGCTCTGGGAGGTTGATCCCTTCCGTGCTCAGCATGAGCTCCTTCCCGTTCCTACTGGAGGTCGTTTCACTCAGGAGGCACCGGGTGATGCCCCTGGTGGAGTAGACCACGGTGCTGCGGGCCAGGGACGCAAGCAGCGAGCCCATGTCAAAGTTGGCCTTTACCAGAGGCAGCTTCATGGTCACCTACAGCAAGAGCAGAGCTAGGTGGTCGCTCGCAGCCCCTGGCGTGGCCAGGCAGGGGATGGTGCCTGGCCACAGGGCGCTGAGCCCCACCACCACGTTCCTGCAGGCCTGGGTGCCTGCAGGAGGCTTGGAGCCAGAGGCGGCCAAGACTTAGGGGCACTCAATTGCACCCTGCTGCCTCTCAGTGGAACCCCTCAGCTGGACCCAAGGGAGGATAGGGACATCTGCAGAGGGGTGGTGGCCAGGGTCCCTGGGGGGAGCTGATGGGTCCTGCTGCTGGGGGGAAGCAAGCCTCAGTGTCTGGGGGACTGCGCAAGGGCCCATGTGTAGAAGACACCGTCCCTGAGCCACCAGAGGAACGCGTGTGGGCCGTGCTTTTGGGTAGAGGTCTGTGTCACTGCCAGGTTCTGGAAGGGCCCTGGGACGAGGCCTAGAGACCACAGGCTCTCAGGGACTGTATGCAGGGGGAGCCCAACCATGGGCTGGGCCCAGCTGGGCGCTGCTGACCTGGCACCACAGGCTCTCCGCGGTGTCATACTGGTAGTCCTCTATCATAGAGTGGGCCTCCCGCACAGCCTGCACTCGACGCTCCACAGCCTCGGCTCCCTGGAGCCCTGAGCAGAGGGGAGGGCTCGGGGGCGCGTCCTCATTGGGGCCCGAGCCTGTGGCCTCATCTGGCTCATGGGCCTGGGGGCCACCTTCACCGTCGGCGTCCCCTTCCTCCTGTGCGTCCTCCTCCTCCCTTTCCTTCTCCTCCTCCTCCTCGCTCTCGTAATCCACCTGGTGGAGACGACAGTGCATGGCTGCCACCAGGGCCCACCAGCCCTGCAGAGCTTGTGCCCCCTGTTGTCCACACTCCCAGCTCCCTTGCCCTTCCCCAGGCCACGCTCAGTCCTCTAGCCTGCCATGTCCTGGCAGGGACTGTGACGGGGACTGGCTGGGGAAGGGGTGCGCCACACCTGCACCATAACAAGGAGATGGCCTGACGTCTGCCCAGGGTTCCCTAGTTCTGGGGGTTTCCAGCACGACACAGGGTGAGGCCTTGGAGCTGGGGAGAGCCCTGGAGTGTCGGGAATAGGGCCTCACCATGCTTGCCTTAGCCAGAGCCTCACCTCCTCCTCCTGCTTCTGCTTGCGCTTGGCATCGGAGGCGTCAGCATCCCCCTCCTCGGCGTCAACATTCACGATGTCCCCTTCCTCCTCCTCCTCCCCTTCCTGCTCACCCTGCGGTTTGGGGCAAGGAGAGCAGTGATTGGCTTCAGTGCCAAGCGCCCTGCGGATCCATAGCCTCCGGCCTCCTCCTACAGCTCCTCTGGGCACCTGCTGCCCTGGGGGCCAGCCTCCTCCCTCATCTTCACCCCCTCACGCACCACTTCAAAGACGTGCACTTCCCCCTTCTCATGGTCCTGGGAACTGAGCCCAGGGTGCTCGACCACTGAGCTGCAACCCAGCTCTTCTGCTCAGACAGGGTCTCGCTGAGCAGCCCAGGCTGGCTCCAAGTCAAAGGCAGAGCAAAAAGAGGCCAGAAGAAGGACTTCAAAGGCTCAGTGCAGGCCAACACTTAACGCCCACCCTCAGGCTCCTTGAGAGCAGAGATGCGTGTCCCCAGGCCCCAACCTAGGGCTGGCCGGGACCATCACATCCGGGAATAAACGTGGCTTGCTGGTGCTCAGAGACCAGCAAAAAAATGCCGAAGACCAGCCTACCTGGGGAAGTGCCCTCAGAGCACTGAGCAGGGACGGACCTTCCCGGAGAAGACTTCGAGCCTGCCAGCGCCCAGCCCTGAGTCTGGCTGCGTGGCCCCACTCACCCGCCTTGTCTCCGACTCCCCCGCGCCTTCCAGGTCCTGCTGTGTGGCTCTCCGAGTGTTCACGCTTCTGAAGCTGGAGTCCTTACTGTGCTTCTTTCTGACGGACTCCATCAGGAGCCTGAAGAACCTGTGGTGAGAAGGCGGCCACACGCCTCCATCAGCACCAGCATGCCTGCCCTCCCCTGACTGCCAGGCAGGAGGTGAGTGATGCCCACAGGGACAGCACTCAGCAGAGCCAGCCTCTCCTGTCCGCTCGCTCTGCCCTCATCTGATTGGCACTCAGCATGACAGGAAGCACCAGCCCCAAGGCGATGGGCCTGCTCTGCAGAAGGTGCTGCTGGACCCAGTGTCACGGCTCTGAGGTGACACTCTGCAGGCTTTCACTCACTCCCTGCACACCTTTGCCAGGGGAGCCCCGGTGGCTTTCATTTAACCAGGATGCCAGAACTGGCCATAGGTCAGGAAGCCAGTGGCACCAGGACCTTCCCTGCCTCTCCCCGAGCAGCATCTCCAGAACACACTCCGACCAGAGGAGCTGCTCCTGACTGCGAGAAGGAAGGCCTGGGACAAGTGACAACCTGTTCTGTGGCAACCAACCATGTCTATAGGCTGGAAGCAGGCCAGTATGACCAAAGTCAACGGTCACCCAGAGGCTGGGGCCTTGCCTCCAGTCACCACTTAGAGGGTCCCTCAGAGCCTTGCCTATCCTGTCCCCACAGGAGCTTTTCATCAGACCACTGAAGCACACCCAGCTGGGGGACAAAGCCTGCACATCCAGCCAGGGGTCCACTTGAGTCCACCCTGAGTTGGCCCAGGGCATGGCAGGGGTGGCAAGATGGGCTCCTGGCCTGCAAGGAGCTTCAAAGGCTGCTCTGCAGAGCAGCAGTCACTGCGTCATCTCTCAGGTGCCCCTGAACTGTCTAGACTGTGGTGGCCTCAGCTCTGAAGCCACCTCCCCAGAAGGCTGCTAGCCTCAGCCCCAGGTGTTGTGGGGCCTTGGCTCGCAGCCCACCTGCTGGAGGCACCACTCCTCAAGGCGAGGTGGGACTGCCAATGTAACACCTAAGCAGCCTCCCTGGCCCCAGCCTGAGCTTAGCCTCCCTGACCTCCATCCCCGTCTCCAGCGACCAGGACTGGCTGAGGGAAGTGGACGGGCCACCGGGCAGCACGTGGAAGGCGTGCTACAGGACGTTTTCCTGGTGTGCATATGCTCTGCCTCTGTGACTGCCCAGAGCAAGGGAAGCGATGGCCCGTGGTGACAGCTTCCAAGGTCAGCTGTCAGTGAGCAACTGAAAGGAGCCTCCCACCCCACACGACTGACAACACACTGGGAACATGACCCTCGGCAGTGTCCACAGGGGCCTGGCTACGGCCAGCACTGCTGCTCGGAGAGTCAGACTTAGCAGAGACACCAGCTGGGACAAGAGGCCAGCGTCGACATCTCTCTGCTTCACCCTTGGTCTGCCTTCCAGACGGTTCTCAGAGTCTCCAAGCAATAGGCACCCGCAGAAAGGGCCACTGCTCAGGCATCTCCCTCCAGGGATGCATCCCTGTCTTGGTCCTAGAGCTGGGAGGGGAGGGGAGGGGAGAAGCCAAAGGAAAGGGGGAGAGGGAGCAGGGAGGAAGTGGAGCTAGGAGGGCAGCCCCAGGGAGGCTGGATCTTCTGAGTGCACTCGTGGCCCCTGGGGTGTCCTGAAGGCTCTCTGAGGCGGTCATACGGCTGCATCCCTGCAAACCGCAGGCCAGACACAGCCTGCTCCTTCTCTATCTTTGCCGGAGCTCCTCTGCTGGAGTCACCAGGACTACTGCCCCTCAGAGTGCCCGCATTGGCCGGGTCCATCACAGCTTTTCAAGTGCACAAGAAAAACCCAACTTGGAGCTCAAAAAAATCCTTCACTTCTGAACAAAGCAGGGCCGTCACTTACAGGAAGAAATAAACACAAAAAACAAAGCGTGATTTACACTCTCCACTTCCAAGAGGCACCACCAGCAGAAGGAGCTCAGTCTGTCCTGGGGAGGCCAGGGCCTCAGGAGAAGAGGGCCGGCCCGCCCACTCACCCTCGTGGACTATGCTCCTAAGTCCCACGTCTCAGAAGAGGACTTCCAGGACAGCACAGAACTTGGCCATACCTGCTCCTCTGCCGATGGGCAAACTGGCAGGCTGGAGCCTGCATGAGGACTGCCTCGCGGAGTAAGCCTCCTGCCCGGGGAGGACGCTGCTGCAGGGGACGCCCAGCCAGGGACTATCCACAGGGCTAAGCGCACACCCAAGATGGTTATCCCCACAGCCCCTGCCCTGAATGCCACATGGCCAGTGTACAGGGCCACCTCGTCTTTAGGGCACAGGGAGGTGGGGGCCGAGAGACAGAAGAGAGTGGGTGGAGGGCAGGGAGCGCGCTCCTTTGCTTGCCACTGTCTTACACGTGAGAGCAGCTCTGGGAGCACCCGGGAGAGGTTGGGGCTAGAGCCAGGGGCTAAGTCCTGCCAAGACAGGGATCTGTGTAAGCCTAGCAGCCTTCATAAAATGGGAATTAGTTGGTGGTATTTCTAAAAGCAAAAGTATGTGATCATATCACCAAGGAAAATTTTAAAAGGAGGAAGGCTTTTTTGTTTCAAAAATCAGAAAATATGGCCACGTCTGGCCTGTACCTGCAAGGGATAGCCACTCACTAAGACAGCCTGCACACTCAAGCCTGCATGGGCCTGTCCTGACACCAGCACTCTTGGCATATGGCCTGTGTCCTTCTCTCCTTCATCTGATACAAATATGTACACATGCTATTTAGTTTTGCAGTCTGAGAGATCCAGCCTACGCCTTTCCAATGTCCAAGGAAGTTCATTCCCGTGACCATAAGGGGCCAGAGGCTCTCTGTGATACTGGTGGCAACCCTGGTTACACAGGTGGGCTTCTGGGCAGCAAGGCACTGCTGGGTGCTCACCAGGCCTCGCTGCTGCGTGCACCCACAGCCCACCCAACACCAACACCACGCTGGCTCCTCCTCTCTGCTGGACACAGTTCCACGTCTCCATGCTACAGTGAGACGAACTGCTCCCGCCCCTTGGCACAGGAGAGGACCCGGGTTCAGGGATTATAAGGGCCAACAAGGTCTTTGGGTCATCCCCACAAGCCAGACTGGACAAGGGTTCCAGATTAAGTAGCAGGGCCCGCTCTTTTCCTGAACACTTCCTTGCAGGGCTCAATAGACAAATGCACCCCACCCCTGGAGCCCTGGAACAGGATTGCTCTTTGCCTAAGGTCAGTTACAAGCATGGCCTGAGCCCTGACCTCGTTTCCATGAAGTGCAGGATGTCCTCGGGCCTCAGGCACTTCTCCTGCTTGTAGTACTCGTGTGGCAGGAACTGGAACCGCAGCTGGTACACCCGGAATTTGTTCTGTTTTTCACCCATACAGAAGGACTCCTGGACGTCAACTTTCTGCAACACCTAGAACCAGATGGACAGATGGACCTGACTCGTCCCAGCCCCATTGACCACACTGCAAACAGGAAACCTAGTAGGTTCTGGGGCGGGGGGGGACAGCAGCTGGGCCACAGGCCAAAATTCTAAGGAAACTCCAGTGAGCTCTGCTAGCATGGATCCTTGGGGGTGGCGGAAGCGGACTCCAGCAGCTTCCAGAGGACAGCGGGGCCTCAAGGCCCAGGCTCCTGCAGGGCTGGTGAGCCGTTCTTGTGGGGACACGGGGTGCCCTAGAACTAATGGTTATCTCCAGAGCCTCCTGATTCATCCTGCTCAGCACCTGGTAGAGATAGCATCTCTCCCACTGCTGGGACTACAGCCGAGGGCTGAGCAGCTGGGATGGTCTTTGCTGCAGAGGGGACAATTCAGGATGGTGTCTCTACCCTGAGTGCAGCTAGGCTGAGTCAGTTACCTCCTCTAAGCACACCCTGGTGAGCTGCTTCTTCAGGCTCCTCACTTTCCTTAGGGCTTTCTTGGTGTTGAACACGGGCACACTCATCATGGGTGTCTTGATGTTGGCGCTGGCCACCATGAGAATCTCCCTCAACCTGTCACAGAACAAGGGCCCAATTGCTCATGACAGGTAACCAGATTCCTTGTTTGCATGAAGCTTTTTCTAGAAACATCAGCGGTGTGCTGGGATGGGAGTGGCCTTGCAATCTCATTGAGCAATATGCTGAACCAGACCCCAGCTCCTGCCTGCTGTGAGACGGTGAGGGACTGTCGAATCCCTCTCAAGGATAGGGCTGAGCCTAACTCTCACAGGGTGACTGGGACGCAGGGCACTTAGCCAGCCTTCGGGCCCGTCTGGCATGTCCATCAGGCCTCGTTCACTCCGCAGGCTGGAAGCCATCAACCAGAGTGCAGGATGGCGGAATGACTCATGTTTTCCCCTTGCCTGGTGGCTGTCTTACCACAGTGTGCACACATGCACCTGGCAGGTCAGGGTCAGGGTCAGGGTCTACATGGGCGGTGTTCCTGGAGCTGGGCAGCAAAATGGCCCTGTGCAATTCCACAAGAAGGCCCAGAAACCTGAAACAGGACTGGCAGAGAAGCAGCGGCGATCCTCGAAGGCCGAGGTATCCGTCTGGCCACAGAAACCAGACCAGCTCCCCCAGTTCCAGTGCTGACCTCCACTTTGACAAGACCCTGCCTGTCACATGCTCGCTCACTCTCACAAAGTAGCCTCTTCCATAGAGGGCCAGCCCTACACCCTTGTGCCCGCACCTTGGGATACCCAGGGTGACGTTCATCTCGCCTCTGCCTGCAAAGTGGAAGGTGTTCAGGGTCATCTGCGTGGACGGCTCCCCGATGCTCTGGGCGGCCAGCAGGCCCACAGCCTCACCCGGGTCGCAGAGCGAGCGCTGCCATTTGAGATGCAGCAAGGTCCTCAACCTGGAGGTGGAAAGGGCAGGCATGCAGTGGCCATAGTGCCAGAAGCCTCTTTCTAGGCTTCCTAGGTGAAAGATCCCATTAACCTCTGGGTCCTGGCTAGTGACCTTGCAATGTCCTAAAATTACATGATGACGTCTCCAGCTGGGGGTGCAGCACCCGACATTCATGAGAACGTCACACATCCACCCAGACCAGTGACTGCAGGTCCCCTCGGCTCTGAGGACTTGTGGCTCATCCCTTATTCCTGTTTCCCATTGGCATAGTCTGGAGAGGGCCGAAGCCTCCTGGTCCAGACAGGAGAGGTCAGGCAGGTTCACAAGGCACCAGGGCCAAGAGGAGCTCCATTACTCAAGTGGCTGCAGACCACACGGGGGTAGCCATGCTGTGCTTCTGCTGACCACACCCAGGCAGGACGGGGCTTGACAGAGGCGGTATGGGCTGCTGCAGGTGAATGGGGGTGTGCGGCGGGCAGCAATAAAGCTGCACCTCCTGGTAAGTCCTTCCAGGCCCTTCCTGAGCTGCAGGAACAGCCCGGCTGGTGGCTGAGGTAACCATGTCACAGTCCATATGGAGAATCTGGTCCCCAAAAATCAAATCCTCCACTGCTCCCCACCTCCTGGCCAGTGTGAGCTCACTCCTGACCCCGCCAGCCTGGGCATGAGCTTCACCAGGGAAGATGGCCTCAAGGTCCTCAGGAAGCTGGTGGGAACAACCAGGACCAACGTCTATTAGGCACTCCTGGGCCCTTCTGATGCAGTGACCCATCATGCTGGCTCACTCAGCCCATGGGCTCTCTCCCTTTCTGCAGAATCCCTCTGAGCTGAGGCCTCCCCTCAGCCCCTTCATAGGCTGGAGATCCGCAGCTCAAAGGATCACTGCGGTCACGGGATCCACGTCCTCATGGAAAGCTGAGGACAGTATCCCTGGGCAGTGAGTGACTCACCCAGGGCCACAGAGTGCCCAGGAGCAGAACAGACTGACCCTGACTCTTAGCCACGTCTACCCTGCCAAATGGAGCGTCATTTATGCAGACCTCTGTCCCAGCGGTGCCCCTTTCAGGTACTGGTCCAGACGAGAGGAGTGCTCTCTGCCCTGCTCTGGCCAGCCTCAGGGTGTGCTCGGTGCCCTTGTGGTCTCGCCTCCCTCCCTCCTGCTAGAGGCAGCCTTGGAGGTGGCCCTCTTCCTAGGCTGGGTGGGGAAGGGCCTGAGAGGCAGAGCTCCTCCCATACGCACCAGGCAACAAAGCAAGGTAGGTCATCACCTGTCCAGAGAAAGCTCCGATTTCTTGTAACTCTTTTCTGCTTCAAGTGCCCATTCTTGACTGTAGTCATCAATCTTTTTTTCAAAATGTTCTGACACAGACGCCAAGTAGATATCTGGGCGCCAGACAGACAGACTGGGGTCAGGACAAGGGGCCGCCTTCCTCTGGTACTTCTGCCGGCTCTTCTCATCTAACTTGTACCACATCTGCAACACCTGCAGGAGGGCAGGAGGGGTCTCAGCTGCGGGAGGGCTCTCTTGGGGTTCCAGTGGCATGGGGGCTTAAAGGCCCTGGTTCCAGGAGAGGGGAGGGCAAGAGGAGGATGAGCCTGCCTGTGTGAGGTCAGAAGCACCCCGACACTTAACACAAGACAGCCCTCTGTGCAGGGCCCGCTGCGTGACCATGACCAGGGACTCTTTGTCCTGGCTGCAGGCACAGGCAGACCGCCTCCAGCGTTTACTGCCTAACTGCGACTCCTCTATGAAGTCAGAAGGGCAGTGAGAGGCCCAGGAGAGGCCGAGATGGGCCTGCCCTGGGCCAACCACACCAAGGCTGCAGAGGAGGCCTGGTCAGGTCCTCCCACACGGGTGTCCCCAAGGCAGAGAGCCGGCTTCTGGCTCCCAGCTGTGCTCTACCACAGGAGGATGCAGCAGCATAGGGAAAGAGCAGGGAGAGGCCCTGGGCACCATTGCTGTCCCTCCCAGGGTCCCACCAGGGCCCGCCTCCAACATCTGCACCAGCCCAGGAGAACCCTGAGCCCCAAGACACCCTGTCAGAGACCCAACTTACTACCCAGTGAGTGCCACTTGGTCTTGGCCTTGTCACCTCACGTCCTCTTAGGAGCAGCCCCCACCCTCAGCCCTGATGGTGCCCAGAGCCTGGAAATGCTAGGCGCTGGGGACACAGCACCCTAGCGTCACCTGCTGGGCCTCTGGGCTGCGACCATTCCTGTTCTCGCCTTTCAGGTTCAGCGCCCTCACAGCGTCCTGGACCTTCTGGGAATAGCTCAGGAAGGCTCCCCTTCTTGGTGGTCCACTGGAATGCCTGCTGTGCCATTTTTTGATAGCTCTGAAGTGGCGGAGGGCTTTTTTGGGATCTGCTCTGGATAAGACTTCATGGAGGTGCTTGGATCTCATTATCACCTGATGACGAGGACAAAGGACACAGGTACCGTGAGGGACGAGGGGTGGCAGAGGGCCTGAGCACAGCCTTCTGGGGCCCCAGGGAGCCTTCAAAGTGCCCCCATGAAGACGAAGCACCACTGCCAATCAGGGCCTCAGCATGTTAACAGAGCCTCAGCGGGGCGGTGTCAGGAGCTGCGGGCATGCAGGAGGGACTGGCATGCTCAGGGCCCTCCAGGAACAGGGGGAGCCTCTGGGAAGAAAATGTGGGGACAGGGATGGCCCCAGAGAGGCAGGACTCTGCACCCAAGCACTCTCAGAGGGCTTGGCTGTTTTCACTCCCAGTCTACACTATGGGATGCTGAATCAAAGGCAATGGTCACTACTGGGCCACGTGGAAATGAGTGCTGGGCCTGGGTTCAAAGGCTGCCTCTGCTGTAAGATGGGCAGGCTGCTGCCTACCTTCCCAAGCCATGGTGAGGCCGCCCCTGGACAGTGTCCAACGAGCACTGTAGCTCAGGACCTGGTACACAGCACCTGCCTCCACCCCGCAGCTGTCGCACCTTCTCACGTGATCCAGGTCACAGGGCTCTGAGATCCTGCTTTACAGCCCTCCCACTGGATTCCAGAGGCCACACGGCCATGGCGGCACCCAGGGTGCTCGGGCCCTCAGACCCCGAGTGCAGCCAGGGCAGACCCGGGCAGTGGGCCTGGTACTACCTCGTAGTTGCTGGCCAGGAAGGGGAACTGCTTGGGCTGCAGGAACTGCGTCTTGGGGATGTCCAGACCGTCCTCTCCATACAGGAACTGCACCACGCTGCCGTCGCTGTCCCGGACCGTCAGATCGTACTGGACTACCAGCCCCTCCAAGTGTTTGATGATGCACCTGTCAGGAGGCCACCTGAGGGCCAGCTCTGCGAGGGCTGGCCATACAGCCCTGCTGCTAGCACCCACCCTGCACCCCAACAGCCAGCCTGCTTGCAGTGCCCCTGCAGATGCCTGTGCCTGGCCTCCATGGCTCCTGCCCTTCTCTTCCAGCAGGGCCTAGTGCCTCCTCGTGCGCACTCTGACGTCAGTGGGCCTTGGGGCTCCTGCCCGCACATGGAGCCAGGCAGGACCAGAACTGCCTGACCACTCATGTCCTGGGTTTCCTAGGCTACACGTGTGTTTCTGAGTGGCTGGAGATGGAGGCAGAAATGCTGCTCAGGAAGGAGTGGCCGTGTGGCCAAGCCATGGAGCGTGGCCACCGAGCCTGGGTGCACTGAGCACTCCCCATTGGGCACTGCTGACTGCACGCAGGCTCCTCCCCAAAGGCCACTTCAACTCTACTCTCCCCTGTAGCCTCTGGAGCCAGGGGGAAGCAGAAGGAGGGGCAGAGCTGGAGCCTGCAGGAACAGCCCCACCCTGCTGGCCAATGGAGCTCCCTCAAGACCCAGCCTGAGCACTCTCCACTCCCAGCCTGGGTCCCAGCAGGGGGTTCTCTGGGCACAGTAGGTCCCCAAGGGAGGGTCTCTGGAAGGCAGGGCTCTGCCACCTGTCCTGCTGGCTCTTTGGAGTCAGGACTCGTCTGGACTTGATCTTCGACTCCTACATGCCCACCGTGGTGGGATGAGGACTGCCTGTCCCCTTTCTAGGCAGGGGAAGACACCAAAGGGACACCTAGGCCCAAAGGGACACCAACTGCAGGCTCAGAGGCAGGCACAGCTCATTCCCACTCAAGATCCTTGCCGGCACCCATGTCCTCAGGGATGGCAGACCAGTAGGTGGGAAGGACACCTACTGGTGTGTCTGGCCACCCTGGAGAAAAAAGTTGTCATGATCCCAAGAATCGTCCTCAAAGGTGGAAGCAAGGCCCTGGGATGCAGGCCCTGCCGTAGGCACACGGTTCTCACCTCTGCAGATAGCCGGAGCGGCTGGTCTTGACTGCTGTGTCCACCAAGCCCTCACGCCCCGCCATGCAGTGGAAGAAGAACTCCTGCGGGAGAGTGGGACAGGAACACCACAGGTACTGAACGTGCACTTGGGGACCTGCGGCCTTTCCTGACGGGTGTCTCTCTCCTTCCCCAGTCTCCAGGGCTCTTGGCACTGGACAGCTCCAGTGGCCTCTGCCTTTTCCTGCCCATGGCAGGATCAGAAGCATCAGCTCCCATCCTTAGGACAGGACCCCACATCCCACTTGGCACTGTCCGCCCCACGCCCGCTCTACCTTCCACCCCAACAGGCAAACAGAGTGGTGTGGCATGCTCCAAGCTTCTGGAAGCAGCCCACAGTCAGAGCTCATCACCGCTGTCCTCAGCCCACCCCACAGGAGCTGGGGAAGGCAGTGGCTTCCTGACCCCCCTCCTACTCTGTCACATACAGCAATGCTGGCCACCACCCACTAGGAGGACTCTGCAAGCGCTCGGGGCTGCAGCCTACGAGAGCCTCCAACATCCCTCACCAGAGATCACGATGGCCAGGAGAGCCTGGGGGCCTCCGTGGCCTTGGATGACTGGCACTGGATGGCGGTCTACCCTGGTGGCCTGACACATGGGGATTGAAAGGCACTAACACCCAAAGCTGCTCCACTGAGGTGGGGAGCAGAGGGAGCTTCCCTTCCAGAGGAGGACTGGGCATGTTCCCTGGCCAGCACCTCCCGCCGCGAAAGAGCCCAGGGTGGGACGGGGGCTTTGTGCAACGGACCTGCATGTGGTTCCCTGTGGCAGCCCAGGCTCCTGGGAAGACAGAGGCCCCCTTCTCCAGCTCTTATGGCAGTTGAGAGGATTGGAGAGGCTGTGTGACCATGCTGGGCACCTCCTCGATATGGGTATGCCTCTACTGGGTTAAGTTCTGCCCCCCCCCCCCCACCAGGGTTGTGTCCTCCAGGACCACAGGTCTGGTAGGCAAGTAGCAAGTAGCCTGACATTGTCCTTGGCCACTCTCATGTAAAGCCATGGTTGGGGCCCAGGTCACTTGGCACTGAGTCTAGGAATAAGGAGATGGCACACGGGAAACCCACACATACGGAAGGCTGAATGCCGGTGAGGAACCTCCCAGTGACGAAGCCGCCAGCCCTGGGGGTGAACCTGTAGGGCTCGAAGCAGGGCAGCGACTTGCCGGACGCCATCAGTGGGGGCCTCCGCCCCTCTAGCTCGATCTGTCCCAGCAGGCATGAGATCTGGGGAAGGAGACCAGGCCAACTCAGGTCGGGGTGGGACACCCGGGAAGCTGCCACCTCAAAACACAGCAGCTGAGTCCCCTTTTCCTGACTGAGGTAGACTTCCACATCTGGGTTCACAGAAGGAGTAAGGCTGGGAAGGAAGCTGCCACCAGAATCACCACTGCATGTGGAGGGTCTGTGGTGCTGGTGGGAAGTGCAGGAAGCAGCAGTGCACTGTGACCCTCACCCTAGGTCCAGGGAACCTCGCACGCCCCATGAGGGCGCAGTGCTGGGGCTTCCCACCGACTGGGCCTTCTGGAGGGTCCTTGGTCACTTCACCCTCCTGCTGCTCACCACTCACCCAGGGACAGGGTGCTGTAAGACCCACTCAAGTTCGGGTTTTTGAAGGGGACTCAGCTTATCTGTCAGGAGTGGTGTGTTTGTGTGTGATGAGTTGCTGCTCTGCACCTCACTCCTTCAGTCTCACCACGGTTCTATGTGGAATGTGGAGCCTCCCACTGCCAGCAGCCCGCCCTCTGTGCCCACCTGCATCGTGTTCACGGTTGACCCTTTGGCCCCCGACTGCACCATCATCTGCAGGTTATTCTCTGGGAACTGCCTGTGCAGGCCAAGAGGCATACACGCCTGTGGAGGGAAGCAGGCGCGTCAGGGCTCCTCCACCTCCTGCCCCAGGCCCGGAGTCAGGTGGGCCCTGGAGCGGAGGCCATCTGCTGTAACATGTGCCAGGTACAGGCCACGCCCTGCACAGGGCAGGGGAAGCCTCAGTGGGCTTCCACCCCCATGCTGCCCCCACCTCAGCCCTTGGCCACCTCACATCCCCAGCCAGGAGTGGCAGGCTCCATTCACTGGTCAAAGAGAAGCAGGAGGAGGTGCCATCAGCTGGTGGCTCTAAAAAGGTACTAGGTGGGCATAAAATCGAGGTGATGCCCTGCTAGGCCGACCCAGTCCTCACCACCAGGTAGACCACTAGTGTCATACTGTGTCCACATGAGCACCCAGTGGGGAGCCTGACTATGGCTCCAAGGCCAGCAGATGCTGGCAGACCCACAGGAGGGGACATGGGAAGATGCCAAGGGCACCTGAAACCCAGCCCAACATGGAGAGGCAGGGCCTGGGTGGGAAAAACAAGAAGGACAGGAGGTGGGGACAACAAGCCACCCAAGGCCACTTCTGATGATAAGTCCTCCAGCCCAGCCTTCTCATCAGGGAGCTGCGCCTCCTGGCCCTGGCCCTGCTGAAGGCGCCCAGAACACCACCTCTCGTGTGCAGGGGCCCACAGACAAGGCTGGCGTGAGCTGGGCCACAGTCCGACTGCCAGGGGCCTGGTATGGCTTCCTGTGCACAAGCTCCTGCTCGTCATGTCCACTTCCAGGCCAGGCCCCAAGCAGGCTGCCCCACATGCGCCTATGGGCACATGTGAGCACTGAGCAGTCAGACCCGGAGCAGGTTTCTCTCTGGCGCTGCTGCACCCTGCACGTCCACCTGCCGCGGCCCACAGGAGGGAGCCCCCCTTCAGATCCCTTCGATGTCGTCACTCCATAAGAAATACTGCACAAGTGAGTCCCTCTCAACGCCAGTCCAAGGCCTTCCTGGGCCTGCCAGGGAGGCAGGACATGGTCCTGGGCTCTTCAAACAATGGATTCTGCCATCCCACCTCAAATCCTAACCAGTCACCTCTTAAACAGCCATCTGCCCCAAAGAATCCTGAGTGACAACCAAATGGAATTAAAAAAAAAAAAAAAAAAAGCATTCAAACAAGTGGGGACAGTCCATGCACCTCCAGACTGACCTTGTTAATCTCATTGCTGTAGCGGTTCACCTCCTCCTTGAACTTCAGATCGATCATGTTAAAATCCCTCTGGTCCTTGCCCAGATGAGCATCCTGCCACTTCCCTTGGACCTCATCACATGACGCAGCTTCTGGCAGGTTTAGTGCAGCCCGGACAGCCTAAAGGAAGTGAGGACATGCGGGGATGCAGTCAAATGAGGAGGTGTGGGTTTCATTCTGCAGGACTCTGGCCCAAGGGCAGGCCATGGCCTCCCAGCCCACTTACCTGGGGCCCACAGTGGGTGGATTCCTCAATGATCCTACGTCTCTTCACATCCGCCTTTGGCCTAACCAAAATGTCTTCCACACCTGTGACATGAAACAGACATGCTCAGGGTGGACGAGCCCAGCCTCTCCCAGCCCGTGAACTGGGGGATGTTCTGGGCCAAGGCCAGACACAGGAGCGCTGGGCACATGGCATCTCAGATCGCCACTATATCTGACCTTATCATCTTTTTCTCACAAGTGACAAAACAGGCTGAGACCTGAGTCCCCAACTTGTGCTTGTAGACACCCACTCTTGTGCTGTCACCCAGTAAGTCCCTGTTAGATGGACATGAGGGGGTTTGGGATAGGAAGCTAGGTTTAGGGGTAGAGGAAGGGTTGGGAATATCTCCACAAGGGCTCCCAGCAGCCTCATGTCCCGGGCCACCTGTATGGTGACTATGGTATGCAGGCACAGAGTGTCTAGCCTGAGCCAGGCTCCCCCATCCCTGCTACAGCAGCCTCAGGAGGCCAAAGCTGGTGATTTCACTCAGGTCTACCCTAGGGCCCATGGGCTATAGAGCTGCTCACACCGGTAGAGCTTGCTGCCCACTTTACCACATTTTGCCTCCACCTGTAAGTGCAGCAGGACCCCAGAGTCCCCCGGCCAACATCCGAACAGGAAGGCAAACACTGACCACTCAGAACTGGGCTCAGATGTCTGCAAAGTCTGATGTGATGGCCTGAGACCCGGAGGCCTAAGACATGAGACCTGGAGACCCGGTGGCCTGAGACCTGAGGACTTGAAGCACGGAGCCTGGAGACACAAAGCCCGAGACACGAGGGTGTGCAGAGAACCCGAGTGGGTGGGGAGGGATACATACTTCAAGAAGCCGTGACCAGGAGTGGGCCTACTATGGGTTCTCTAGGCCACCCTGCCCAGGCGACAGCTGGCCCACCCATTCAGAGCCCTGTCCCCAATAGGTCTCTAGCATGTGTGGTCACYGCATAGCTGTGTTCTATGCCAAGCCAAACAGGGCTGCTGGCCTGGCCCTTGGCTGCAGCTTCCACCCAGAGAGCTCTTAATTCTCTGGCCAGTAGACAGTCCCACTTGTGCCAGGCCACTGGATGAAACGGGTTCCAAGGCTTCGCGCTGTACCTTCCTGGAGACCCTGGGGCCTCCAGTGTAGTTTCCAATGAGAAGAGGGTGACCAGCCCATCACAGGAACCAGGACGGGGACGGTGCCTCTCAGCTCAGGCAGACCAACAATTTGCAATCCTCATTCTGATAGATCAACTGGATGTATGGGCCCAGACACCTGTCCCAGGGTCCTCATTACCACAATGGCCTGAAAACTCACACCAGCCTAAATGTATGGTGACAGGGATGGCATAATCACCCCACAGGACAGCCTAGCCTCTGAGTTCTGTGGCCTCCGCCAGTTGCAACCACAAATATCTAAGGAAGAAATAATTACACCTATAGGAACAGCCACAGAGGCTTCCAAAGCAGCCTAACAGCTGTTCAGACGGCACTTACGCAGCAGGAGGTATCTGAACTCTGAGACGGTTTTAAGTCTAGGGGAGGATGCACGTAGGTTATATGGAAACACCACACCACTGCACATGAGGAGCATCTGTGGATTTTGCTATGGGGGTCAGCAGCTTGGAACCAATATCCCTCAAATACTGAAAAACAAGTAAACATCCACACTAAAGGAATGACTTGTAGTCACTAGTCATGAGGGTGTGGATTGATAATAGTTGACTCCAAAGGTCATTTTAAAATATATTTGGAGTGGTGGTAGAGAGGGACTAGATTACAGGACAGTATGTAGTAAAGGGTTTCATTTCCTCTGAATATATCTGCACTGGAAAAAAGTCTAGGAAGATACACTTCAAGTTGATACTAATGTGTTTCCTTGCAAATGGAAGCGGGGTGTTGTGTTCCCACCTATGGACATTACACGTTTAAGCCATTCCAGGTGAAACATGTGACTGAAGAGTGAACTGGTGCTGCGCCGCTCCACTACAGGCTCAGGGCTGGGCCCCTGCAGCAGCCTGTGGAGCACATCTGCACTGAGCAAGCCTAGGAAGCAGAGCGGCTCCCTCTGCCACGGCGGAGCCCACCACGGTATCCCCCGGCCCCCTCAGATTCCACTCCAGAGACAGGATGGCAGTGCAGAGAAACAGCACACCTGTTTCCTGTGTCAGAGCCAACTCCCCACGACAGTGCCTCTTGCTTCCAGGACACACTGGGCTCAGGGTCAGCAGACCCACCTACCCCAGTGGAGTTCCCAGGCACAGGCGACCACTAACAGGAAAGCCCTCAGCACAGGGAGGGCCGAGGGAGTCCAGGAGGGTGTGAGGGCAGGAAAGGCCCAGCGGAGCGAGCTGCAGGGAGGGCCAGGGCAGAAGTGGCTGACCCGTTGTGGCTATGGGTGGGGGGCCAGGCTCACCCAGGGTGAAGCCTCGGTAGAGCTGCAGGTAGGCGGTGAAGAGCCGGGCCAGGCAGGTGAGGACCCTGCCGCTGGTCTCGCCCCCGTAGACCTCGTGGCAGCAGTGCACCAGGCCATAGGCGGAGCTCCCATAGTGCGCCTTGTCCAGCACTCCGCAGAGCAGCTCCCCGTCGCGGATTAGCACCTGTGGAAAGCACCAGGTTGCAGGGACATCTCCACGTGCCCTTCTGACGGCACCAGCCTCCCTCCAGCTGGGTGCCTCTTGGTGACCTGCCTCGAGTCCCTCAGAGAACAGGAGGCAAACACACCAGCAGTTGCTGAAGTTTTCTCCAGGGACCACACACACTTTCCAATGTGCTCAGTGTCCCTGCTCTCCCACCCTGTACTGAGGTCAAGTACATGGAAATGAGAACCAGAGCTGCTACGTGGCCGCTGGGAGCCGGGCTTAGGTATCCCTCCCTCGCACCTCCCTGGAACCCTTCGGGCAAGAACAAAACCCTTGGAGCATCCTCTCAACCCGAATCTGCACTCTCATGGAGCGGGGCTAAAGGGTTAGAAGCTAATTAAAAGAAAAAGATTCCTAGCACCATGAGGCCCACCGGTGACATGCAGTGGCCGTGGGCATGTTCCACTGGCCTGCTCTCTTGAACCAGCATGGGGCACCCAGGTTTCACTGCCCTGGGAGGCCTCTTGACCCTGTCATAAGGCTTGCAGCTGGGGTGTTGGGACCTCAGAGCATTCAACTTTCTTAAGTGGTCTTGAGGGAAACCTGGGCTCTGCATCTCAAGCTTGGCTGGCTCACACCAGTGGGCGCACAATGCAGGCTAGATGGTAGAGACACTCTGGATCCTGCCCAAAGCAATGGTGGACAGCAACCTGGGCACAACCTTGGCTCCTGAGGCAGGCGGCAGTCCCATCATGCCTCTACTTCTGTCTCAGCCTTGGGGGCACCGTCTCCAACCTGCACCGAGGGCGCCCTACCTGGGACTCGCACATAGAGTCAGGGTTAAAGCCAGGAACAGGCCGAGGAGTCTCCTTCACCCAGGCTTTTCCGCTGATTTTTGCCTTTCCGGACAAGTTCAGTGGGATGTAGTCCTTGGGGATTATGTTTATGAGCAGTGTTGACACGACCTGGAGGAAAAGGGGAAGGCTGAGGGTAGAAGAGGAGCTGGGCCCTGTAGGCCTGCAACCACAAAGTGCTGCTCTCAGGCAGGCGAGAGGCAGCTCCCCTCCAGGGCACAGGTCATAGGTCACCCTGGACTCGCCCAACGACACATGAGAGGAGATGAAACACCAAGCAGCCCCTGCACTTGAACCAGACTCCTGAGCAGGCCAAAGGAAGAAAGGGTAGAGCAAAGAGTGGAAAGAAAGAAAAGCAAAGAGAGGAAGAAATGAACAAAGAATATTCAGCCCCCCAAAAATTTGGGGCTGGGGTTGTGGCTCAGCCATAGAGTTCTTGCTTAGCATGTGCAAGGCCCTGGGTCAATTCTCAGAACCACATAAAAATAAATAAATAAAATAAAGGTAGTGGGTCTAATTACAACTAAAAAACAAATATTAAAAAAATTCAAGACTCAAGACATATATAGATTGAAAAGAATAGAAAATGATATTCCAAGCAAAAAGAATCTGAAAACAAGCAGGTATAATTATACTTATATCTGATAAAAGAGACTTTAAGACAAAATCAGAAGAGACAAACAGTTGCTATACATTGTTCAAGTGAACAATTAATCCAGAAGATACAATTATAGTTTGTATGAACTGAATGTTGGACACCCAGTTTTATAAACAAACACAAAGAGACCTAATAGATAGAGAAAGGCCCCAACACTGCAATTGGAGTGACTTCAACACCCCACTCTCACCAGGCAAAACCAAGAAAACAACAGAATAAGCAGAGTTAAATTACACTCTAGATAAAGTGGATTTAACAGACATCGACAGACTACCTCATCTGACAGCTGCAGAATTCACATGATCTCCGTCAGCACATGGGGCTCTGTCCAGAATAGACCACATATTAGTTCAGAAAGCAAGTCTTACCAAATTCAAAGAAACTGAAAGCACACGCCGCATCTCCTCTGATCACAATGGAATAAAATGAGAAATCAACAGCAAGAAAAATTCAGAAATCATACAAACACGTGGAGACTGATCAACATACTTTTGAACGAACAGAGGATCACTGAAGAAGTCAAAGGGGAAATTTAAAAATCCCTTGGATCAAATGAAAATGAAAGTACAACATACCAAAACCTATGGGATAGCGCAAAAAGCAAAACTACGAAGTTTAAAGCTAGAAAAAAAAGAGAGAGAGAGAGAGATCTCAAATAAATAACCTAATGATGCTGCATCTTCAAGGTCTTCGAAAAACAAGAATGAACCAACCCCAAATCAGTAGAAGAAAAGAAATAATGACAATCAGAACAGAAATAGTGAAACAGAAGCTAAAAACAAAAAAAAACCAACAACAATAACAAAAGCATAAATGAAACAAAGAGTTGGTTCTCTGGAAAGATGAAACTGACAAGCCTTTAGCTAAAGTAACCAAAACAAAGATCCAAGTAAGTAAAATTAGAGATGTCAAAGGAGACACTATACCACAGAAATTCAAGATATATTGAAAAATAAGTGCAAATAAATTGGAAAAATCTAGAAGAAATGAACAAATTTCTGTACATGTAGGACCTAAGAAATTGAACCAAGAGAGTATTAAAAACGCTTAGGAAGGGCCGTGGCTGTGGCCCAGTGGTGAGTGCTTGCCTGGCACGTGTGGGGCACTGGGTTCAAGCCTCAGCACCACATAAATAATCAATCAAAATAAAGATATTATGTCTATCTACAACTAAAAAATATCTCTAAAAACCAACCAAACAAAAAAACCTAAGTAGACCAATAACAAATAATGAGACTGAATCAAAATAAAAAGTCTCTCAACAAAGAAAAGCCCAGGACCAGACCAGACAGCTTCTCTGCTGAATTTTAGCAAGTGTTTTGTTTTGTTTTGTTTTGAGGAAATAAAACAGAAAGGGAATGAACCAGGGACTGGGATTGTGGTTCAGTGGCATGCTGGCCTAGCATGTGTGAGATACTGGGTGCAATCCTCAACACCACATAAAAATAAAATAAAGGTATTGTGTCCACCTACAACTAAAAAATAAATATTAAAAAAAAAAAAGAAAAAAGCTCACTTCATGATGCTAGCATTACCCTGCTATTGAAACCAGACAAGGACATGAAAAATGAAAACTATACACAAATATCCCTGATGAACATAGACTCAAAAATCCTCAATACAATACATGCAAATTGGATTCAAGTGCACATTCAAAAGATCACATATCATGATGAAGTTGGTTTCATTCCAGGGATGCAAGGATTTTTAGGACTCAACATACAGAAATCAATAAATGTAACAGAGAACATTAAAAAAAAAATCAAGGACAAAAATCACATGTTTAGGGCTGGTGATGTGGCTCAAGCGGTAGCGCGCTCGCCTGGCATGCGTTCGGCCCGGGTTTGATCCTCAGCACCACATACAAAGATGTTGTGTCCACCAAAAACTAAAAAATATTAAAAAATTCTCTCTCTCAAAAAAAAATCACGTTTATCAAAAAAAAAAAAAAAAAAAAAAGATGCAAAGAAATCACCTGGTAAAATTCACCATCCTCCATGACAAAGTTAGTAAGCAAGGTCACAGCTCCACGTGAGAAATGCCATGGAGGACAAGTGCACAGACAGCACAGTGAAGGGGAAGCAGCCTTTCCCCCAAGCTCAGGAGCAAGGCCAGGCTCCACTCTGACCTGTCTTACTCGGCCAGAGCAATGAGTCAAGGCAGGAAAATAAAAGGTATTAAACAGGAAAAGAAGGAGTCAAGGCTCCCCTCTCTGCAGATAGGACTCTATACATAGAGAACCCTAAAAACTCTACCACTACTAAAACTGGTAAGTTCAATAGAGTAGCAGGATATAAAATCAACATACAAAATTCAGTAGCTTATCTCTATGCCAGTAATGAATTCACTGAGAAAGGAATCAAGAAAAGTAATTCCATTTGCAAAAGACACACACACACCACTAGCAATAAACCTAAGGATGTGAAAGATCTTTAAAATCAAACTACAAAACACTGAAGAAAGAAACTGAAGACACCAAAAGGTGGAAAAGATTGGGAGAATCACTACTATATAGCTATACTATCCAAAACTACCTGGATTCAAAGCAATCCCCCAATTACCAATAATCCTAATAATACACATGGAAGCCCAAAAGATTCTAGATAGCCAATGCAATCCTGAGCAAAAAGAGCAAAGCTGGAAGCATCAAAATCCCTGATTTCAAGACATACCACAAAGCCACAGTTTCAAACACAGCATGCTCTTGGCATAGAAACAGACACACAAACCAATCAAACAGAACAGAGGACCCATAAAGACATCCATGCATTTTCAGCCAACTGATTCTTCACAAAGATGCCAAGTATACACTTGGGAGCAACAACTATCTCATCAACAAATGGTGTTGGGCAAACTGGTTATCCACACTCTCTCTCTCACCCTGTACCGAAGGCAACTTGAATGGATCAAAGACCTTAATGCAGACCTGGAACTCTGAAAACTACTAGGGGAACACAGGGACACTCCAAGACAGCAGCACAGGCCACGCTGCCTGGGTAGAGCTCCACAGCACAGGAAATAAAGCAAGAATTGACAAATGGGATCACAGCCAACTGTAAAGCTTCTGCACACAAAATAAATGATCAAAAAAAAGAGAGACAGCCTGCAGCACAGGAGGTGGCTGCCAATCTGATGAGGGTTTCCATCTAGAATATGCAAAAAAAAAAAAAAACCCCAAAATATTAAACCACACACACAATCAGCAACAAAACACAAGTAATCCAACCAAAAAATGACCTCAATACATGCTTCTCAAAAGGAATAATACAAATGGCAAATAAATATGTGAAAATGTACTCCATATCTTCAGCCATCAGGGAAAAGCAAACCAAAACTACAATGAGATTCCATTTTACTCTAGTTACGTGGCTATTAACCAACCAATCAAAAATAACAAATGCAGGCGAGGATGCGGTGAGAAAGAAAACCCTTCTTACTAGATTTCACATCCAGCTAGAGCCACGAAGGTAGCCTAGCACAGTGAACGCAGCCGAGACCTGCGGAGCTGCAGGAGTCCGGCCCTGACCCACACCACTGCCTGGTGCGTGACTAGGAGACACTGAGGAGCACTGCAGGACTTTTCAACAACAGCCGTCAAATGAACATGGGAGGGAGTGACCCCCCACCCTGCCTCACTCCAGAGCTAGGCATGACAGGTGGACCCATGAGGCTATGGGCGACAGTGCAGGGGCAGGCAAACCGTCCCGCCACAGAGTGCAAGGTCCAGGGACTACGGAATGCTACAGAACCCACCATTAGAACTAGGGGAAAGGTAACCATCAAGTAGGCGCTTCCAATCCATGCATCTAGCAATGGACTAACACCAAAATACATGTTTTACAGCTCTTCCCTGGGCCTGGGGGACAGCTCAGTGGTAGGGTGCATGCTTAGCAAGGAAGAGGACCTTGGTGCAATCTCTAGCACCAAAGAACCCCACACAGACAGACAACAAGCCTTTTACCTACAATAAGACAATGACAGAATAGGGAACAGGCAGAAGACTCTAACAGGCCCTTCACAAAAGATGATATCCAAATGGTTACTAAGCACGTGGAGAAACGAGAAGATGTCACTATGTCCCCATCCAGATGGCTAATCCAGTAGGCCCCAACCCCCAAGCCCCACCCAGCAGTAAAGCCAAGTTCTGCTGAGGATGGGGCAGCCAGAAGCTTCGTGCCCTCCTGGTGAGTGTCTCTCTGAAGCACTTTGGAAAAGTGAGGTGGCCTCTGACCCGGCAGCTGTGTTCCCTGGTGTCTGCCTCTGAATGACACTTACCAACAAGACATGTGCTGGGGTTTCCGAGTAGCCCTGTGTGAAAGGCCAGCTGAAGATGGCCAAATGCCCACCCACCCAAGGAAGAAAGGTGACACATGCACATGTGGGACACTACAAAGCAAGGATGACGACAGCCCACTGTGTGTGACCACACGAGTGGCATGGGTGGCTCAGAGGGAGGACCAGCCATGCAACTCCATTCGCATCAGGTTCCAAACGCGGCCCCAGCTGCGCAGGGGCTAGAAGGCTAGGGCTGGCCTGGGTGCTGGACACTTCCTCTGTGCCCTTCACGCAGCTGCCTGCTGGGAGCTGCGGAGACCTGCAGATGCTCTTTCTTTCTTCCTTCCTTTTTTGGCACTGGGAACTGAACCCAGTGCTCTGCCACCGAGCCACACCTACAGTCCTGTCCATTTGTTTGAGGCAGATTGCACAGGCTGTCTTGAACCTGGGACCTTCCTGCCTCAGCATCCCCAACAACTGATTACAGGGCTGCAGGCCACCACACCCACAAACGGGGCTGCAGAATAAACTCAGCTCTCCCTTCCTGACTTCAAGCTGGCCTTCTCTGCAGAACCCTTGGCCCCTGAAGGAATCCTCACCACGCAAGTGTTCCTGCCTTTCTCACCCACCTGCAAAGAAACAGCCCGACATCCTCCTGGTGGGGGAGGCACTGAAACAAGCATGAGTCTGTGTTCTAATTTTGTTTGTTTCAAGTAACCATCACAACCCAGAAATATTAAAAAAGAGAAAGAAGCTGTCCCTGATCCCCCAAGGCAGCCTGCTGGGCTCTTCTTCCCACAACGCTTTCCCTGTGTGCCCATGCAGGCTGAGCGGGTGCCGAGAGCCCTGCGGCACCACAGCAGGGGGTGTGCGTACCTGGCAGCTCTGGTGCTGGGCAAGCTGGCTTTCTGCTTCTCCCAAGCAGCCTGCCCATAGCCCGATGCCGTCTCAGGCTAGACTCCCAGTCACAGGGAAGGAATCATCTGTGGGTTTGGCTATATATTCCCTGTCCGCTGTCTGGTTCTATTTTGAACACACTACTTAATTTTTAAACAAAATACTATTAAATTCAAGACAATAATTACATAGAAATCCACTGACTTCCAAGATAATTCGATGGCTTATAAAATAAAGACAAATAAATAGGAATAGAGGGACAAACACAAATGGCAAACTAAGCCAGGAGTTGCAAACCATGGCCTCCAGGCCAGATGTGACCCACTGCACTACCTGCTTCTGCAAATGAAGCTAAGCTGGGTCACGGCCATGTCCTTCCATTTCCACACTGTTCTTGGCTGCTTTCCTGTTACAGTGGCAGACCTGAGTAGCTGCAGCCCAGAAGATGGCCAGCAAAGCCAAAAATAAGTACTTCTTGGTCTTTACAGAAAACACTTACTAATCCCTGAGAATGCTGATCTGTACAAAAATTTCAAACTGCAAAATTCTCCATCCAATCTGCTAAATCAACCTCTATGACTGGTCAGGATAGAGCATGTGACCTGATTTAGCCTCCCTCAGAACTAGCAGCAGCATGAATATGCACCGGTTTTCAAGACACTGGACATCAGGCGAGGAAGCAAACGGTCAACAGGGACACAGCAAACCACCTACCAGACAGACCATTTTCAACCCCTAACACAAGTCTCAATAAATTTAAAAGAATTCAAATCATCACAGGTATGGTCTCTGGCCACAAAGCAATCAAACTGGAACTCAGTATTGAGATACTGGGAAAATCCTTAAATATCTGAAAACAAAATATGGTACTTAAAAATAATTCACGGTCAAAAAAATCAAAAGGGAAATTAGAAAGTATTCTGAAGTGGACAAAGGTTTTAATATACCACGAGTTGTGAAATGCCTCTTAAGTAGAATATAAGTAGGAAACTTACTCACAAAATGTCTATATTTAAAAAAAAGATCTTAAAATCATTGACTTCAGTTTCAATCTTAAATAACTAGAAAAGGAGTGGAAACCCAAAGCCAAAATGAAAGTTAATAAAGATCAGAGAGAAATCAGTGAACCAGAAAACAGAAGGCCAGAGATGTCAGTGGAACTAAAAACCGGTTCTTCTAAAACAATAAAACTGATAAACCCTAGACAGACACATCAGGAACTGAGAAAGACACACTACCAATGTCAGAGTGAGAGAGATGGAAAAGGATGACAAAGAAACACCACGAGCAACCTCATGCAATGAGTTCAACGACTCAGACGGAGCGCACAAATCCTTGAAAGCTCACTCAAGAATAAACAGAAGCCCAAATAGCCACATATCTGTCCTGGTCCAGTCTGTGCTGCTGCAACACACCACAGGCAGGGGATTCATAAGGAATAGGAATGGATTTCCTTCCAGTTCTGGAGGTTGGGGAGAAGGCACATGCAGCCCAAACTCATCCTTTATAAAGACTGACTCCCATTGTTGGGTAGGAGGTGGGACAAGGGGAGGAGGCTCCTAGCTCCACCCAGAACCCTCCCAATAATCCACCTGAAGCCCCTTCCTGGGGTTAAAATGAGGAAGTCAGATGACCAGAAGGGGACTTGACCTCTAGTCTTGGGCTTGCACAACAGCCCAAGGGACTGTCCAAGGGTTAACTTATTGCTAGTTAATGTATTATTAGCATTGCAGTTGGCTATCCTTCTGTGCCATTTTCTACAGGAAAAAGGAACTTATACAGGGGTAGCAGAAATTACATAAAATTCAGCTGTCAATCAAGCTGCCAATCAACCCCAAGTGCACCAAGGGAAGCAGGTGGGGGGCAGTAGTACAGCCCAATAAAAGCGAACTCCACTGTGCAGGGGGGTGCTTGAGCCACTTCACAGCTCCACCCACTCTGCTCTCGCAGTGTTACCTTTACCTCTGGTAAACCTCTGCCCTGCCTGCCAGTCTCTGGCACCTTGCACAATTCTTTGCTCTGGATGCCAAGAAGCTGGACCTGAGCCCCTGGAGACCCCGCTCTGGTGCAAGTGACCCCACAATAGCAGCCAGAATCCATTCAGGAGAGCAGCCCCCGTGGCCCCGTGGGCTCACGGCTGTTCCGTGGTGCTGCAGACAAAGCCAGGGCCTCTCTCACACAGGCCAGGCAGGGGCCCACCACTGACGGACCCCAGGTCCCGCTTCCTGATCAGGAGTCCAATTCCCTGTACATGAACTTTTGCAGAAGTGTTCAAAACAGCAATCTATTAAAGAAACAGGAATTCAATAAAACATCCTTCCCACACCTAAGTCAAACAAACTTCTTTTCTTTTTAAAGTTAAAATCATCATACAAAGAAGCTCTAGGTCCAGATGCTGACGCCGGTGATTTTCAACAAGCATTTAAGGAAGAAATGACATCAATTTTACACAAATTCTTACACAAAACGGAAGAGAGAACACATCCCTTATTCTCTAATACCCAACTCCAGATACCAAAACAGCACACTTAATAACAGACACTATTCTACGACACCTAATACCGTGACTCCACAACCAGACAAAGATATAAGACGCCTGTTGTCCAATAGCCTCAGGAACAGAGATGCAAACTCCATGCTGAACAAAACAGCAGCAAACTGAATCTAACAGAATCTCAAACAAGGACCAACAGAAGTGTATCCAGGATGAACCTCACCCACTGAGATCCCCCAGAGAGCAGAAAGGGCGGGAGAGACCACTGGCTACAGAGGAGGAGCCAAGGTCCACAGGGGGGAGCAGGAGCTGCCCAGTGGGCAGGCAGCTGAAGGCGGAGGCCAGCCAAGAGTGGAAAACACACCTGTCTCACCCTAGTGTCACACACAGTGACTTGGTCATCTCCAGAGAAGTATGGTGTGCCACTCTGGAGTTGGGAAGTCCGGGATGAGTGTCTTCGGTCTCCCAAGTGTGAGATTACCACCTCCCTCCCGCAGACCACCAGCTGCAGGTTGGCCATGAGAGGTGAATCTGGTGAGGCATCTACCGAATTCAGCAAAGCTCTCATCACGTCTAGCAAATGTCACCACTGCTGCCACCAACGTGGCTGTGACCAGCATGTTTGGATTACAGTAGGTCAGAAACAGAGGACAGAAACCATTCAGATGGAGGGATCCCAAACGAACAGACAGACTGATTTAGGGTTTTGGTTTGCGGCTCTGAGGACGGAACCCAGGGCCTCCTTCATGCTAGGCAAGCGCTCTACACTGAGCCACACCCCAGCCTTAGGCGTCTTCCCAGAACAGTCTCTGTTCTGGGAAGGTCACATTTCTCACCCACACTGACTCCTTCCACTTACCTGCTTCCCCGTCCACAGTGGAAAGGGCTTCAGGATGGCAGGAGGAAGAAGCTTCACGCGCCCCGCTTTGTCTGTGAGTCCTCGGTACAGCAACTCCACGTACTGTTCCCGGGTGAAAAAGCAACCTCGAGTGGTCATGTTTGCACCTGAAACCATGTGATCCTGGATCAGCCCTGCCAATGGCTGTCCATCCTGTGAACCAAAACACGAGAAGGACAAGATGGACTCCAAGCCAACTCTAGTTCTTAATCACAGGCTCAGAAGCCACCTTCTAGATAGAACGAGCCCACCCGTAGCTCCCATAACTCCCTGCTCATGCCCGTACCAGGCTTCCCTAGCCGTGACCACTGATGGTTCCTGCTCTGGCCAGTCGGCCACTGTCCTGTGTGAAAACCACTTAGAACTTGTTCAGCTCCCCAGGCCTTCAATGCCTAATATCATCTGGTTCTAGTTACTCCAGCACATTTTTGACATTTATGCATAAATCTGGTCTGGCTGTTGGTAGCTGCAATTTTGTTTTTTTATTTTGGTTTTGTTTTAGTATTTTCACACACTTCTGGCCTGGTTCTCCTACCTATCAATCATCCATTCAACAAGTATTTGCTGAGAGCCTACTGTACACATGCGGGCCCACTCCATGGACCAAGAAAGACACAAGGAACAGCCAGGTGGGAAGCACACACTGACCAACACGTGTCCCATGGGCATGGGATGCAATCCCAGGACAGTCCATAACGTGGGTGGGTGGAAGGGGGCACTGCAAGGGGTTAGGGCCCAGGCAGGTCCTGGGTAGGGCCAGAGGGCCTTGCCTGCACAATGTCCAAAGTGCCGCATGTGGCTCAGGGTGGGCCCTGCAGACCACAATCTAATGGAGGGCCAAACAGGGACCTCATCAAACTCAAAGACTGGTGGCACAACACTTGAGTGTTTGAGACCCCAGGCCCTGGGTTGCACTTGTCAGGCTCACGTGCATGACAACAGAAGGCACACTCAAGCCAAAAAGTCACCATGCTCATCAGGAAGAGGCAGCTTTCAGACTTTCCCATGATTACAGGAACTTGAGGAAACCTGACCTTGGCTCTGAAGACCTCTCATCTGATTACTGTTAAGTCATAGCCAATATTATAGCCAAGTTCCTAACGAAGGTGGAACTGCACCTACAGAGAAGCAACAGGAATCTGACTGCACATACCAACTATCAAGGGATCTAAATAGGACAGGGATGGGTTCTAGAGAACCCAAAAGCCATGATTCCAGATGAGCTGAGAAGGATCCAAGGGCACAAGGGTGAAGGCAAAATCAGGGCACATGGCCCTTCCAAAAAGGCTCCGAGTTCCTAGCACAAGTGAAACCTTCGCTCCCGTACCAAAGACAGTCTTGTTGGGCTTGGGGGAAAATCCAGACCAACATTATGCATTTGACTTATCCGAGGTCCTTGGGGGAAGACCCAGACTTTCTTTGTTTTTCCTTGTAAAGAACATAATCAGGAGTTACACGTGAGACCATAACTATGGTGCCTTCTCTCAGTGCAGACTCACACATGACTGGAAAATTACTAAAAGGGTCTTCATTACAATAATCACAAGTTCTCAGGAGGAATTCGGATTAAAACTATTGCTAAAGATGTACATGTAATCCCATTTAGGATTAGCTGGTGTGTTAGTCAAGCCTGTAATCCCAGCAGTTTGTGAGGCTGAGGTAGAAAGATCACAAGTTCAAGACTAAACAACTAAGAGAGACCCTGTCTCAAAATAAAATTAAAGCTAGATGCAGGGGTGTACACATATAATCCCAGCAACTTGGGAGGCTTAAGCAGGAGGATTTCAAACCAAGGCCAGCCTCAGGAACTTGGTGAGGCACTGTATCAAAATAAAAAGGGCTGAGGATGCAGCTCAGTGTGAGAGTTTGCCTTACACATGTGAACCTTGGCTTCCTGCCCAACAGAGGGAAAAAACACCTGATTCAAAACCCAGAAAATTCTCAGCTATCTTGTTCCACGACATCATAGCAAAATGACATTAAAATTAATGTCTCTGGTCAGAATGCTTAGATAACAGAATACTTTGTGTCTTGAATTTGCTAAGGAAAAGTCAGGAAGCTTTGTTTAAAAGCTTTCCACAGAATTTGGCATGGTGGAGCATGCCTATAATCCCAGCAGCTTGGGAGGCTGAGAAAGGAGAATCAAAGCCAGCCTCAGCAAATTATCGAGATCTTAATCAACTCAGTTGAGAACCTGTCTCAAAATAAAATATAAGAAGGGCCGGGGATGTGGCTCAGTAGTTAAGTGCTCCTGTGTTTAATCCCTGGTACTAAAACCAAACAAAATCCCCACATCTCCAGAGTGTTGACCCTCAAAAAGCACAACGAACAGAAGAGGGCAGTTTAATCTCAGTGAAATGACGGCATTTGCTGGTAAGTGGGTGTGACACAGGCCAGCCTGAGAAAGTCAAGAGCAATGTTCCCCTGTCTGTGGAAGGCAGAGCAACACCAGGGAAAGAGGTGGCAGGAGAAGATGGGGTAACAAAAGACATGGGGTGATCAGGAGAGCAGCAGAAGCAGAATGAGAGGGAGGAAGGGTAAGGGGCAGAAACTGGGAACTAAACAACAGCAGCTAATTCCATACAGGTGTGAAGGTACCAGAAGGAATTCCAGCTCTGTGTCTACGCAGAAAATGCCAATCCAGCTGGGCGCCGTGGCACACACCTGTAGTCTCAGTGGCTTAGGAGGCTGAGGAAGGAACATTGAGAGTTCAAAGCCAGCGTCAGCAAAAGGGAGGTGCTGAGCAACTCAGTGAAACCTTGTCTCTAAATACAATAAAAAATAGGGCTGGGGGTGTGGCTCAGTGGTTGAGGGCCTGAGTTCAATCCCCAGTTATGCCCCCCCCCCCCGCAAAAAAAAAAAGAAAAAGAAAATGCCAATCAAACATAAATAAGGGAGTGAAAAGAAGATTAACACAGGAAAGGACAGAACGGGGAGGGAAGGGGAAGGGGGGTGGGGGTTGAAATCCTTGCATGTATTATTTTGTCACAATGAACCCAAATACCGTGTATAATTATAATGCTCTTAAAAATAAATAAACGAAGTTTAGTTGTTTTCTTGGGAAAGAAACGGCTGACATCCCCATGAAACTCTACCTGATACACACAGCCAACAATAAAGTACCCTTTCATCTGGTTCTATGATCAGTTAAGGAAGAGAACTTCAAAACGGTAAAAGGGAAATTAAGAACACACCAACAAAATGACCAAAATACCTGGCACATGTGAGCCCCGAGTTTGATCCTGATATCACAAGAAGAAAAGGACCAGTTTAATCAAATTGACACTTGTCATCTCAGGACCCTGTCACCAAAGACATGTTGCATTTTCATAACCTTGAACAAAAATAAGGGTTCCACTTCTTGGTATTTATGCTAACGACTGGATTTTATGGTCAAGTGTCAAAAGGCTTGTTTTCCGACAAAAGTGAAGAGAACTCTCAGGCCTAGGATGTGAACTCACCCACCTGGGCTCCCGTGGCGCACAGGCGACGGGCCCTGTGCTTGGCAGGACACGGGGTGCGGGAGCCTCCTGCTGCTCTGCACCCACTCACTTACATCAGGTGCAGAGCCCCACCTCACTGGCTCAGGTCTGCAGAACGCCTCCGGTCCCCACACAGCCAATGGCCACAGGTTGCTCCCCAGCACATGTTGCTTCCTGGCAGAGTCCCCGGGGGTGAAGTGGCCGTTTTGGAGGGGTCTGCTCCGTGCTCCCACCCACCCCTGCCATGACAGGGGCTAAGCTCATGTGCAGTGGAACACAGGAGCTGGATGGAGCCCTGGCCTCCTCATTGGCTAGCGGGCTTCTCTCTTGGTGCTCCACCTCGTAAGGCCGTGGAGAGGCTTGGCAGGATAACGTGTACCAAGGCCTGTCAGCGATGGGCTGCCTTTGAGCTGCTACCACTGTTGCAGCTGCCCAACTGCAATCACTGACGGGAAAGGACCACAGGGCATTTCCTGTCAGCGCGTCTCTTTCTCCAGCTGCCCAGTGACCGAGTTGGCCCTCAGCACCGTCCTGCCTTCCCCTTTGGCTCCCATGAGATGCTGAAGCACTGAGGTGGGAGCAGGACTCCTGGACACCTGGGAGGGGCCGCTCCCAGGGGGCATTTGCGGGTAGCCCAGGACCCCTGGGTCGAAGCCTGCCCATGGAGACTTGGGAGCACCCTGCCCGGCCCTGCCCAGCCCGGTGTCCTCAGCCACGCTCCTGGGACTGTGGGAAGGTGGAGCGCAAGGCCGGTGGAACAGCACCTGTGCTTCGAATCAAACGGCCAGTCCTGCCAATCTCCCCACAACCCAAGTCAATGACGCACAACTGGGAATTGTTGCGCCTGGCAGGGCCTCGGACCTCTGCGCAGGTGGAGCACCCTACCTGTTCTGTATCCCCGCCCAGCTCCAGTTCCTCCCTAAGCACTCCCCACCCTGGAGCAGGTCGGCCAGTGGCCCAGGCGAGGCTGCCTCCTTCCCAGTCTGTAGGGACAGCTGTGACCCCATGGGCTGCCCGACGTGAAGCAACAGATTCAAGGAGAGGATGCCCTCAAGTGCTGCAAGGGTCAAGTCGCCTCCTAAAACCCGGGTGAGACACAACCCAGAGGACCAGAGTTGGCGGTGGTCACCGCACTCAGATGCCGATGCTTGCCAGGGGCCAGTGAGCCATGGAATCCAAACCCAAATCAGCACCAGATAAGCCCTGCTGTGCAGCTGCTGAGCTGGCTTCCTAGGACGGCCTGACGACGACGTCAGAAAGCCCAGCTGCTCTCCTACCGAGGCCCTTCCCTACCTGTAGGCCACTACAGGGCTGAATACCCACCCAGAGGGACCCAGCCCTCTGTCCCGTGGGCCCTACCCTGGAGTGGCCCAAGGGGCCCAGTGCAGAGAGCCCCTTCTGCTGGCATTGCCTGTGGAGGCCGTGGGGCCAGGCCTACCTTGGGAACGAGGTACTGCTGGTCAGTGCAGGCCAGCACGCAGGCCTCGGCCCGGCCCAGCTCGCTCTGGGGGAAGTGGGCGTTCATCTCGTCGCCATCGAAGTCAGCGTTGTAGGCCTTGCAGTTGGCGTAGTGCAGCCGTAGGACCTTCTCCCCCGGCAGGACACGGGCGTGGTGGGCCTGGATGGAGGGCCTGTGCAGGGTGGGCTGTCGGTTCAGCAAGAGGATGTCCCCATTCTTCACGTGCCGGCACACCTGGGGTAAGGCAGACAGCAGGTTGGCCAGGGGAAGTCAGTGTCCCTGCCCCTCAGGGGTCACCTGACCTCGGCTGAGTGGGCTCTACCTGCCATAGGCTCCAGTCAACTAAATACAAAGCCCTAGAAATCTGAGAAATGCTCTGGCTCCTGGCCCTGGCCCTGCAGAGCCCACGTTGGTTCTGTGCTCACAGGCCCCAGGAGCAGGTGAGGCCACAGTCTGTCTGATAACTGCCACTTCTTCAGGGACATGCAGCCTTTCCAGGGTCCTGCGTTCCAGAGAGCTCATCTCAAGAGTCATGGACATGAGTCCTGAAGGCCGAGGGCCTGTGTGGAGCCAAGGAACCCCCAGGTCTGAACGAACCTGCGGTCCTTTCACCCCTTAGTCACGTACCGTGTGATTCTAACGTGGTTCCTTCCATGTTTTAGAAGCATGAGCCGACTTCACATGGCAGGAAGACAGGAGTCTGACTCCCAGGCGCACGCCCCCTGCACACATTTTCTACATTTGAAAAATCAGTAAAATGCCAGGCGTGGTAGCTCCAGCAGTCCCAGCCAGCTGGGAGGCAAGATGGGAGGGCCACTTGAACTCACGAGTTTAAGACCCCTCTGGGCAACAAAGCAAGGCCCTGCCTCCAAACAACAACAAAAAACAAAAGGCATAAACTGCCTCAGTTGTGTGGGGACACTGTTTGAAAATAACGATCAGACCATTTGAAACGCATTTCCTCGGAGCCTTGCTGAGCAGAAACAGCGCCAGACTGAGCTGCAGACTCCATGCACATGGCAGCGCTCACAGCAGCAAGACTCAGAGTGCTGGAAGCCTGAGGAGGGGCAGGACATCATAGGGTGCATGCACACAGAGGCCTCCTTTGACACACCAGCCTGTAAATGGCAACAGGGATGTATGGCAGCCAGAGCAAAGACCCAGGCAGGCATGAGCAGCAGGACAGAACAATCCACACCTGCCTCCTGGCTCACCTGGGCACACAGGAAGGACGAGGGCGCAGGTCAGCACCTGACCCGACGCCTCAGGATGCCTCCTCTCATGTGCACAGGTGCCATTTCCATGCAATCTTTAAAAGACCTTCAGTTACTTTTGAAAAAAGCAAGAAACAGTGTACAAGCAGTGTTCTCATCATGGAGTGAAAACCAAAGGCAGACTGGAGAGAGCAAGAACCGTGTGTGATTTACCCTTGAAGCCAACTTCCCAAGTCCACCAGTAGCTGGTCTCTCTGACAGCACCCAAGGCCTGCAGAGCCTTCTACCATCTCACGTTCACGACCAGGCTTCCCAAATAACACCCCGCAATGACACCCAAAACAACTGCATAAAGCTGAACTCTAAAGCATTTAGAATTCATTTTTTTCTACTAGGAACTAAACCCAGTGGTGCTTTACCACTGAGCCACACCCCCAACCCTTTTTATTTATTTTGAGACAGGGCCTCACTAAGTTGCTGAGGCTGGCCTTGAACTTGCAATCCTCCTGCCTCGGCCTCCTGAGTCACTAGGATTACAGGTGTGCACCGCAGTGCCAAGGTCCTCCTCAAGCATTTTGAAGGGCCCTAATTAGTAGCCCATAGGAACTGGGTGATGGGCACTTGGTGATAACTACCCCTACCCTGAATCTCCTCCAGGTCACAGCAGACAACAGGCTGGGGGAAACAACAGATAGCTCGAGCCTAGTGTTCTCTCACGTTGCCCACGTTGATGAGGCTGCACTGGAGAGGCCAGAAGGTGCTTCCCCCGCCTCCCACTTCCTGGCCTGCTGGCCTCAGGCTCTGGAAATGGAGAGAGCAAACCTTCACACACCAAGTCTGTCTTGTTACCGCTCCCAGAGGAATTTGAGCCTTCCCTTCCCCACATTTCCACAGAGATCTCAACCCAGGGTTCCCGTGGGCATGTGCCAAGGGCACTGGCCGCTGGCTGGGTCAGATAGCCCAAAGTCATCTTTCTTCAGCCTCTTTAGGGAACAGCTCCCAGACTTGTGGCTTAGGCCCAAAAGCCCAGGCAGGGCCTAGACCTGAGTCCAGCCAACTACCTGCATCTGGGAAGGCCTGCGGGCCAGTCTGACAGACACCAGCCAACCCAAACAGACACCGCAGAGGATAGGCACTCCCCTGCCCAGACAAACCCCAGGCCCTTCCTTTCTCTCATCTGTAAACAAATATCGTAGTGAAAATCAGCATGCCCTAGTGTCCAGGTCAGTCTCCAGGCAGGTCTGGGGCCAAGGCTGACCTCTGCAGCGCTGGGCAGGGAGTGAGCTAAGGCCATGCTGTCCATTCCCTCCTGCTTTGTGAGGCCCAGGAGAAAGGTCAGTTTCCCACCTCCAAAGGAACGGAGCCCAGCCTCTCTCCTTCTTACCTACCTGCTGTTCACTCTCACCAGACCTCAGTCTGTCCTGCCCAGACGCCTCCTGGCCTCAGCCCTGCCCTAATCTTTAGGTAACACAATAACCAAAGTCTTGAAGTGACCACCCAGAAGACTGGTGTTTAACTCCATGAAGCACCGGGGCATCATGGAGACGGCGGAAGACGGAGCAAGCTGTCCTGAGTGCACAGGTCTTGATGGAACAGCCACTTCTTTTTTCCCCCAGTACTAGGAATTGAACCCAGGGGTGCTTGGTCTCTGAGCCACATCCCCAGCCCTTTTCATTTTGAGACAGGGTTTCACTGAGTTGTCCAGGTTGGCTTGAACTTGTGATCCTCCTGCCTCAGCCTCCTGAGCCCTGGGATTACAGGCATGTGCCCCCATGCCCAGCTCTGTTTTTCTTTTATAAAGTTCCTTCCCATCTTTGCCTCTGAGTCTGATCATCAGATCCAATGTGGTCCTCACACCTCAGAGCCTCCTACACCTCAAGCTGGATCTGTATGCCACAAGGTGGTGTCCTAAGTGCCTCCTACACGCAAGGTGCTCAGGAGGGGGCGCAGAACACACCCTGCCCTGGAACTCCTGGGATGCAGCAACTCCAGGGAAAGGAGCTGGTGTGCAGGTGGTGAGGACAGAGCAGTGGAGTGATGAGGAAGGATGTGGGAGCGGCCAGCTGGCACCTGGTTTCATACATACACTTCTACCAGCAGAGACACCATTCACCTGCAGCCTGTGTGGCCAACGAAGCCGGGAATCGTACTCTGATTGAGGGGGAAAAGGGGCTTTGCTGAAACCTGCACATTCCGCCAGAAGGCCAGGCACTCAGGAGGCAGAACAAGCCTACGAACCTGAACACAAATCTCACCTGACACATCAGGAGAGAGCTGAGAGGCGACCTGGTATCTGTGTGCCGGGGAGAATGTCACTCCACCTGAGCACAGCCATAAGGCAGGAGAGCAGGAGGCTTAGAGGCCTGCAGGCCAGCAGCCTTGGGGACAAGGCCAAGAATATGTTACTACCTGTTCCTTCAGAGTCTCTACAAGGCCACTAGAAACTGGAGCACTTGAACCCACTGCCAAAGAGGAACCAACCAGTCAGCCACACCTAGTGCATACAGGCCCTAGGTTAACCCAAATCGAATCCACCTCGTCTAGCAACCTCTGCCTCTGTGGCCTGGCCAGGGCTGGTGGCCTCCCCTCTCAGCAGAAGAGTGCCTACAAGGCAGGCAGCCCTGAGGCCCCCAGCAGAACTGCTGTCACTCACACACTCTCCCCAGTGGGACACGACTGTGACAGCACCATGAGTGGGTATCACCACTGCCCCAAACTGAGGCACCACCTAAGACTCGCTGCCAGGAGTCTCCTTGGCGTAGAGCACTTCTTAAGGTGCAGCATGGAGACCTCTCTGGAAACACCATAGAGCAAGGTGCCTGAGCCCTACCCCAAGCTCATCACACAGCACAAGAAGTGCCCATTCCTCAGACACTCTGGGGATACTGCCCCTGCTGATGTGAGGCCACCCTCTTGAGTAGCCCTAGGCGAAGGCATCATGGGGGAGCCAGATAGGAGCTGTCTGGGCCCCTGACCAAACTTTCCCACTACTCACAATTTTTGTCCCCTGGGGCTTAGGTGCCCCTGTGGCTGGTGTCAGGAGCTGTTTGGCCACGGCTTCGCGCTGGGTTATGTCCACGGCGCTCAGGGCTGTGCGACTGCCATCCTCATTGATGACCATGGAGGCTCCCGGGTGCACATTGGGACCATTGATGACTGCCTGTCTCAGTTCCTGGACATTCCAGGGGGTCACTGGCTGAGGGTAGGTCAGTTTTGTGGCAAACACCTAGAAACAAGGAATAGGTACAGAAATTCAGGTCACAGGGTCTGCCCAAAATCTGCTTCCATAGTCTGTATGACATGCCCATGATATGGGGAGCAGTCTGCATCGTCCAGAGAACCCTTTAGCCACCGAAGCAATGTCCTGTCTGCACCTGCTCTCTTATGGGCATGCACTGGCCTCCTCCTCCAGCAGTCTAAGGAGCATGACTGAACGCTACAATTTACCCAGTAAAACATTTTTAGCACATCATTAAATTTTATCCTTCTGTCTTGTGCCAATGAGTTCAAAGCACCCACAGCAGGGATTAAAGCAAGAGACGCTTACAGGAGATGGGTGGCAGACACCTGCCCGGAATCCCACCACACCCCTCCTGCCCGTAGACACCACAGGCTAAAAGCACAGACATCGCATCGGGAGCCCTGCCTTTGGCAGTTCCAGCAGCCGCTGCAAGCATGGAGGTGCTTGAGATGAGGAGGTTTTGCAACTCTGACTCATGAGAAGATGCGGGTGCCCCAGCGACACGAGGCTGCGAGACGCCCCGGGAAGAAGGCGCTCCCTAGCCAAGCGAGGCCCCAGCTGCTGGACACAGTGCACGAATCCCTCCAGGACAGCAGAGGCAGCTCCTCCAGACTTTGCCAAGGTGTTCTGAGGCCTCCTGGCCAGCCGTGCTCTGCTCCCTGCACTCTCCACCCTGACAGTGCTGACACAGCTGTGTGGCTACCACCTGACTCCACCCTGGGAAACAGCTTTGAGAAGGAATGCGCTGTCTCCTCGTCTCCCTGCCCGAGCTCTGCCTCCAGCTCTGAACACCTACCAGCAGTGCTATGCAGGAGGGCTGTGCTGGCGGGGCCCACCTGTTCTTTCTAGCTACCCTTAGGAATGCTTCCAGGCCTCTGTGGCCCTGAGACGTGGAGCAGGTTCAAGGCACCCAGCGGGTAACCTCAGAGCCACTCCTCTGGGTACAAGCCATTATTACCACATGAACCTAGATGTAGAAGAGAGAAGCCCACCAAGAACCCTGTGGAGGAAGTAAGACCACACTGGAGGTCTCCCTAATGCCGGGGAGGCTCCAGGCACCGGGAGGTCAAAGCCAGCAGGGCAGCTCCCACCTCTGGCCACAGAGGGTGACCAATAGGCCCAAAGTCTCTCCTCCCTGGGCTGGGAGGCGTGGCTTTGTAGACTTTCCTTGCCCTGGCCCAGCCTTTGGATCAAGGACAGTGGCAGTGGGCATAGGAGTAAATTGTCCCTGCCTCCTGACACATCACACCCTTGCCCAGGAAGCTTGTGTGTGCCCCAGAGAGAACTCTTCAGCTCAGCTGTGCTCATTACCAGCACCTTGGAGAGGTTGGGGGGGTGGTGCAAGGAAACGTAACTGCCCAGTGGGAAGCAAACCACCTCCACCTGACTGACCTCAAGGTCCATCAAGGGGAAGTTGATCAAAGGGCTGCTGCTAATGAGCACATGCTCGGACTAGGGGGGAAGTGAGAAGAGGAAGCCTGCTCACCCAGGGGACACTAATGGGTGGGGGGCAAGGCACTGACAGCAGGAGCAGCTGAGGGCGGGCAGCGTGTCTCCTCTGGGTTCTCTCCAGTCCCCGGCCAGGAAACAAGGGCATGTAAGCTGACAGGAAGGAAATTCCCTTTGCCCCCTTCCTGTCATGCCCTCATTAAATGGGAGACTAGACAGAGACAGGGGAGCAGGGGCCTGTGATGTGGCAGGCATGGGTCCCCTCGTGTGCAGGTGTCTGGAGGCCACCAGGCAGCCTCGAGTCCCCCCAAAGCGGTTTTCCCACGTGGGAAGAGATGGGCACCATCCCAGGTGAGCCACTGTGGCTTCCTGCACCACCAGCAGCCCTCCTTGGCACCACTGCCTACCGCCTGCAGTTCCCAAAACACGCACCATGGGAATCCCGATCTCGTTGGTGTTGATGTACATGTCTGGGCAGATGACAGAGCGGGCCGCGTAGTCTACCCGCTTGCCCATCATGTGCTTTCGGAACAGGCCTTCTTTCTTCTCCAAGATCTGTATGGAGCGAAAGCCCACCGGAAACATGGTTTAAAAATTTCACTGTTTATTGCTTCCTTGTTTCAACATTATTCACCTTGTCAGCCAGTAACGGGAATCCAACCCATGCTCACCTGTCTGATGCCAGGGTACTTTTCCATCATGAGTTTGTCCATCTCGCTGTCAAACACAATGTTGACGTGGCTCTGAAGGCGAATCCAAATGTTGTACAGCTTGTCTGTGAGAGTCTGGCCTGGAAGTGTACTTAAAAAGGACCGGTCCATAGCCACCAAAGAGTCTTTTTCCTGGGAAAAATAAGGCCAAGAAACAGGGATGGTGGGGGAAAACCCAGGTTGGCTTCTTTTACTTTTCTTTCCTCTCCCAGTCCTGACAAACACGCCCTGAGCTGCCTTTGAATGGAGGGACAGGTGGGAGTGCTGAGGAGCCTGTCTTCCCAGTGTGCCCCATGGGCTGCAGGCTCGTCACACGCCCACCAGCCTCTCTGTGGGTAGGATGAGCTCAGTGTGGACACAGGTTTCCTTCTCAGGGCAGATGCTGAGCACCAAAAGCTGGTGCCCAAGGAAGGGGAACCCAAGTTTTTCCCACATCCACACTTCTCTGGAAGCTGTTATCTTGCCACATAACTAAGTTGCATATGGAATTTCAGTTTTAATTATGGTTTCACAAAAATTTAACCCTATGTACTTGTAAAAATGAAGGCAGAACAATTCCTGAAGAGGAATAATGTTTGCCACAGTATTCTACGCCATTAATTATGATTAGGTCCCTAAATAGGCTAAGTTGTTGGCTAATTCCTAGGCCTCTGAGTGTTCAAGCAATGAGCACTTGAATATTTCCGGCTTTTTTTTTTTTGGTACTGGGGATTGAATCCAGGGGTGCTTAATCACTGAGCCACTAACCCCTTTTAAAATATTTTGTTACAGACGGGGTCTTACTGAGTTGTCGAGGCTGGCTTTGAACTCGTGACCCTCCTGCCTCAGCCTCTCAAGCAGCTGGGATTACAGGTATGGCCGCTGTGCCTGGACAGAAAATTTGGATATTTCTGCCCTGATTCTGTCTTTTCCCTCCACCAGCACAGGAGAGATAAATACACATAGGCCACAAACTGCCCTATAGCACCACCTACTGCTGGTGGCTGGCCACCATCTGTTCCTCTCTGGCTGCACATGACCCAGGAGACAATCACCTGAGTCCTCCAGTATGGGTCACATGAGAGAAGAAACCTATGGGGGGGAAGGTGGGTCCAGAGGAAGTGGATGAGACTCCTATGGGAACCAGCAGTGAAGTGGGCTTGTCCCCAGAGGAGTCTTCAGTTACAGGGAAGGCAGTTATCTCTGCAGGCAGCATTCTGTCCCCTGCACAGGACGAGGTGGTCCCCCACCAGCCTGACCCACTGCTTAGGACATTCACTGGCTCAGGGCCCCAAGGTTACCAGTGAAGTGAGCAGGGCCTGTCCCACCATCAAGGCAATGGAACAAGGGAGCCAAAGGGAAGAAACAAGAACATGCCCATCAATCAGAGGGAAACTGACCTTGGAACTGGGAAGGATGCTATTTCTGCAGAGACCAAGCCTTTTCTTCCCAAAAAAGGTGTGCTCCAATTTTCAAGGGACACCAATATGAAATTTTCAGCCCTGGTCATTGGATCTGATTATCCTACAGTCTTCCCTCTCAAACTGGACTAGCCTGTAGCTGGCAGGTCTCTCTTACAGGGGGATGTGTTAAAATATTACAATGGCTGATCCAAGAAAGCTCCAAGAAGAATATCTGGGCAACCCAGAGCACAAGGTCCAGGGAACAGTGGTGTCACCCAATGACAGACCTGGCTGGCAGGCACCTGAGGGCCCTGTTACCCAAGGCTGGAGATGGCCATGTCTATCTGCACCCAGAGAGTACCCTTGGGCTGGGAAGTCCTTGAGTGATCTCAGCAAGCTGAGTGTCCAATCCATCAACACACCCACTGAAGACTCAGTGCTGAGTGGGCTCAGGATTGGCAGCTGTGACAGTCCTACCCTGTAAAACTGCCATTCTAAACACTGGCTTCCGGATCCAGTGAGCCCAAAGCAGAGTTCCAGTAGTGTAACCCAGGAGGGAAGGGGATGTTTCTCCTGGAGCTGCCAGCAGCTGGTGGCTCAGAACAGCTGAGGTGTGAACCCACCACAAACCACACACAGAATTAAAGGGACTTAACTAAAGGGTACCTGGTATGGCAGCAGGGGCAGAACGCAGACCACAGCCCGACCTTTCCAGGCTCTTACATGTCCCCAAACCCACAGCCCCACCAAGGGTCCTGTCAGCACTCTCCACAGCGTGTGGTCCTGACCTCATCTGTGCTGAGCGCTGCCACCTCACAGGGCAGCTGCTGTTCTTGCGCCATCAGTGCCAGAAGTTTTCGGATCAGAACGACATCCTTCATGACAGCCTGCAAGTTCACCGTCTGGCCATTGGTAAACATCTGGTCCCCCAGGCGATTGACAGGGCGATACCTGCGGGGACCACAGGGCGAGGAATGCTCAGTGTTAGAAGGGCCTGTCCTGCGGCACCCACCCTGCCTGCTGTGGGCAGCACACACACCACACTCAACAGGGGCCACCCTCCCGCCCGGGCCTGCAAGGAGCCCACCACACAGCCTACAGAGGACTGCTTTGCGATGGTTAGCACATGACCCTCCCGGGGCCTCCCCAAGTCCGTATTCACGCCACAGCCAAACTTATCAGGTGACATAAGGTAGGGCATTACCTGGAGGGAGGCACCACCACGAAATCTAGAAAGAACATACTCGGATTGAATCTGGATTCCATGCCAACATCAACCAGTCCCGAGAAAAGGTAATTCAGAAAGAACCCTGTGTTTGAAACAGAGAAACCAAGCAGACCATGTCAGTCTGTACGTGAGGACAGCCACGAAGCCATTGATGAGAGGAAAACTTGAATAGAGGACATCTGCCCTCCCATGGTACCCTTTCTCCTCAAACCAAACCGGAGACAGCAAGACAGCAAATGCTGCTTCCCAGAGGCTGAGGGGCAGGCCTGGGAAGCCTTCCCATTCACATGCCCTCCCCAAACCTGAAACTCCTATATGGTTAAGGATCTATTCCCCGGCATTTACAAAACATCCCATGCAAAGGCAGTCAAGAGGCTCTTCTGTGATCAGAGATGTATGAAGTTTCTAGTGATATAAAAAAGTGCTCAGAGAAAATGAATCCAACGTGCCAGGGCTTGTCACAGGAACGTCAGTCCCTGGAAATTTCCTGATGCCCTTTAGTGGGGCCATCATTCTGACACTACTTCTGGTGTGTCAGGAGCGCCAGAGCCTGATCATGCTGCATAGGCCCCGTTACAGACTCAGAGAGGAACGGGGTGTTCCTTGTTATAGGGAACTAAAATGTATAGACACCCTAATTAAAAAAAAAAAAGTTCATTCTTAATTCTGAAAAGGAATCCCCAATCTTTTAAAAGGACTTTTACAAATGGGCACTTAGCATAAGGTGGATCACTCTGGACCTTCCAACACTTGTCAATCTGCATTAAGTGAGGCCACTGAAGCTCTCACCTAATGACCAGGCTCAGTTACAATCAGGGCCAAGTTCTTAGTGCTGGGCTCCTACTTCAAATTCAATGTACTCTGAAGCTTGTCCCAAACCCACAGGTCTACTTCAGGAGACAGCGATGACAAGGGCAGCCTTAAGAAAAACAGGACTAATAAGGCAGGTTAACAAGCGTGGAGATGATAGGGGCTGCCCGGCAAAGCACCTTCATTCTTCCAAATGGAGAAAAGATGTTCCCGGGCACTGCTGGGTGTCAAGTACCCTCGTTTTCCCATCTGAGTTTCCTCAATTCCTGCAGCAGAAGAGGGGAAATCAGAGCACTGTGAGTCAATACCAAGTCCTCCTTCAGTAATCGGATTTATCAATGTTTTTGGTAACCAGGGATTGAACTCAGTGGTGCTTATCCACTGAGCCTTATCCCCAGACTTTATTTTATTTTTTGAGACATGGTCTCACCAAGTTGCTTAGAGTCTTTCTAAGTTGCTGAGGCTGGCTTTGAACTTGGATTCTCCTGCTTCAGCCTCCCAACTACTGAGATTACAGGTATTCACCATCATGCCTGGCTGATTTTATCAATTCTTTGTCTTTATTCTGCAAAGCCTGCAACTTGACCACAAGTCAATCTTTAGGACAGGATATTCTCAGCCCTGGACTTCCCCCTTACTCTAATCTAAATTAATGAAAACAATGTAGCTATCTTATAAAACCTGAAAAACTGAGCAAAAGAAAACAATATCTACTCTCCTATCAAATTCACAACCATTATTTTTTGGGCCGAGTGGGTGTTGCTGGGAATGGAACCCAGGGCCTGTGTACACTAGGTAAGCGCTCTACCGCTGAGCTATACCCCAGCCCTATCACTTTTATATGCTCTTTTCTAGCCCTCTGGTTTATATAAGAGCTCGATTAGCTGACTGACAAGGATAACTAAGCAGTATCATTTTCTAGTGTCAAAACAACCAAACTTTTCTGAGATATATTCACTGAAATTGAGATTGCTCCACCTGATTGTTCTTTGTGGAAGAATCAGGGTAGGAACCATGCCTTGCCTGTGCTCCTAAGCCCTGACACAGCGTCTGGCTCACAGCAGATGTTAAAGAGCCACTGGTTTAAGCACGTTGCACCCTGAAGGTACCTATACTGGAAACTCTACTCTTAGTCAGGTGCAATGGCCTCGCCTGCAATGCCAGTGATTCATTCTAGAGGCTGAGGCAGGAGGATCACAAGTTTAAGACCAGCGAGGGCAACTTAGCAAGAACCTGTCTCAAAATAAAATAAAATAAAATAGAAAAAGAACCAGGAGTAAAGTGCCCCTGGGTTCAATTCACCAGTACTACAACAAAAAGTGGGGGAGAACACCCCATCCTCTTGCCTTTTTCTATACTTTAAGATCTTAGTTTCAGCAGCAGCTTGGGAGGCTGAGACAGGAGGATTGTGAGTTCAAAGCCAGCCTCAGCAACAGTGAGGTGCTAAGCTACTCAGTGAGACCCTGTCTCTAAATAAAATACAAAACAAGACTGGGGATGCGGCTCAGTGGTTGAGTGCCCCCGAGTTCAATCCCCAGTACCAAAATAAATAAATAAATAAATTTTAGTTTCATTCTATCTCTATTTCTCTCATTACTTGCTTTATAATCTGCAGAGGGTGTGTCATCAGAAGCTTTCAGAGAAATCTGTGGTTTGGACAACAATAAATGTATCATAATTTATTTAACTAGTCTCTATTAATGGGCCATTAAGTCGCGTCCTACTTTCCACTATTTAAACGTCGCTGTGGGTTTTTTAATTTCTTAGGATAAAGTCATATGGAACTGCTGGGTCAAGGAGTTTGCACACTTGTTTTGACACCCATGAAACAAAACATTTCAATAGTGAACGCAAGTGAAGGAAGCACAGGCACAGGAAGAGGAGCAGCTCTGACCTCGGGGAAGCCACAGACTTGGAAAGCTGAGCGTGCAGTGGGAAAATGGAGCCCATTCCCTTCAGAGCAGCTCTGTGCTCCTTCTGGAAGTGAGCATCTGACTCTGCCCCCTGGACAGGCCAGAGGGCTCAGGAAGCCTGGTGGAATCTCCCCAGCTCCGCCCAGTTGTGTCTCCACTGCTGTGCAGGCCACCCTGAGGCAGACTGATGTGTCCAGCCACAAGAGGTCACCTCCTCACATGGGCTCCTCACAAAGCACTCCCACCACCTGCGACAGTGCCGTCTGCCCAGCTGGACCTCAGAGAGCCTCCTGAGGGCTTCCTTTGCCTGCAACAGATGCTAAATGGGAAATGTCTGGAGGTCAGATAATCTGGGAAATCCCAGGTCTCAATGGGTGGGGCTTCTTGGGTGCCAGAGTCCTTATTAAGTGCTACTATGCTAGAGGGTTTGGGGGTACAGAGTGCTTCAAGCACGGAGGGCACTCCATACGGCTCAGCGGTCTAGCAGGAACAGGCCTCACTTAGTGGCTTTCTGTGGTCTACAGAACATGACCAGGCCATGGAAAGATACCAAACTGCTCCCTGAGCCACTGGTCACCTGCAGCCTCCTCCAAGAGCAGAGGCCACATGGCCTAGTGTCCATCTTGGAGCTGTGTCCCCCTTGGACCCTACAGTCCTGGGCATGATGCTGAGTGTCCAACAAGCAAATCTCTGTTAAACACAGCGATCTAACCCCAGAGCTGAGAGACTACTGCTTCACATTCCCAGGGCAGGGACCTCTGGCCGCACCACCCCTGCTCAGGGTGGCAGTGAAAGAAACTTCAGAATTCTCGTACAGCTGAAAGCACTGGAGACTACTGCTAGAAATCGGCCCCCAAAACAGCCATCTTCCAGAATTCTGATCATCTCTGTTCTCGACCTATTAGCACTTTCTAAAGCATCCTAAGGGCCACAGCAGCAAATCCCTACTGGTTTTAAGAAAAAGCTGTCTTATGGGCTATTTCTGGGTAAGCGAAGGAAAACCCACTCTTGTGCTGCTGTTACCCACTAATCTAAGTTGGCTTTCTAAATGCAATGTGGTATCTGGACTGGTCCTCGAACATAAAAATGCCAATACTGAAAAAATTGGAGAACTTCAAATAAAGCCTGTAATTCATTCAATAGTATTGTGCCAGTATCAAGCTTTTAGTTCTGACAAATGCACATGGTGACCTGAAACATTAGGGCAAACTGAATAAAGAGTACACAGGGACTCTATTTACCATGTTTTCTACTCCTCTGTAAGTCTCAAATGATTTTAAGTAAAAAGGCTATTACAAAATAACAGGCAGGTTTGTTATTTACTGCCTGCCTTGCCAGAATCTTCACTGTGAAAGACAAAACTCAAATGTCCAGAAGAAGAATCATGTCCCTGCCCGCTCCACCTAGAACCTGGGAAAGGCACAGAGCATCTGCTGTGGACCTCTGTTCATGTGACTCCCTCTACCTGGGCCAGAGATTTGTCATGGTCACTCCACGGAGCTGGAATCAAAGCTCCAAGAAGCAGCCATCGCTGAGTCGCTCGCAGCACACAGCAGAGCCGACTACAGTCACAGATGTGCTTTCCTGCCCTGGCATGTTAGTCTTGACTAGAAACAGACACCCACAGCACATACACTGAGTGACAGGCACTAGTCTCAGTACTCCCAGGAATACTTTATGTAACCCTCACCATTTCAGAATAAATTAAGAAAAATATGAAGCCTACCACTACAGAAACAGAAGAGTGAACACCCTCAGTCAGTCCTAGTTAGTTCTCAACTACCCAAGGGCAGAGCAGAGCTAGGAGACTGCCCACAGGGTCCTGGTGAGCAGCCACAGCAGCCTCTTTGGAGAACTTCAAATAAAGCCTATAATTCACTCGATAGTATTGAACCAAACTGCGCTTTTTGCTAAACGCTTATAGTTGTTAAAATTATTTGCCCACATTTTACTCCAAAATAAACCTACATTTGTTTTATACTAAAATGTTTCAACATATATGCAAGGCATATTCTGATATTTCTTATTCAAAAATCTTTCAGAAAAATAAGCACCGAGGACAGAGGCACTGTGGGGCACTGACCCACTGGGTTTCTTGGGTGAGAGGCCTGGACGCCATTCCTCTGCTGGCCCTACAAACACATGGCAGAGGAGCATGTAGCAACAGGACCAGGTACTCCCAAGGTGTGGGACACACGATGGCCACACAGGAGCAAAATTGTCAAGGAGCCCCCTCCAGACCCCAGCAGCTTACCCAGGGGCTCGGCATCCGTCTGGCCAGACTTCCTGTGCACCACAGCTGGATACGTGATTGTCAGCTTACTGTTGTGCTCCTTTCGAACAACTGACCGCCCAGTCCTGAGGGTAAGGACACAGTGGTGAAGGAAACACTGCCCCACAAGACACTCGGGAGTGCGGCGAGAGACCAGCCAGCACCTTTTATCCTAGGGAAGGGAAGGCAGGTGCCCAAAACTCACTTGCAGTGGGGACATCGCTTAGCAGACATGTGTGCCTTCCAGAAGTAAGCAATGAGTTTGCTTCTGCTCTCACACACATTTTTCACCTGTCACAAAAAACCAGAGGACTTGCAGTGCCATTTTCATCTCATGGTTTCCACCATTTTTAACCACAGGAAATCACCCTTACTTTCTTAGATGAAAATCTCCCAAAGCTGCTGGCGGGGGCAGGGGTAGCTCCATGGTAAAGCATTTGTCTAGCATGAGCCAGGCCCTGGGTTCAATCCCCAGTACCACAAAAAGTACTCAACAAATGCCAGTTACTCTTAATTTTTAAACCAAAGCTTTCTGGATGCAGCTGCTGTTTGTGCTGCTGCCACCTCAGGTGGCCTTGGGCTCTGAGAAAGGCACATCCACATGGTTCTATGCCCAGTGCAAACAGGCCCCAGGAGCTTTGCAACCTACACATGGGCCCCGCCCCAGACCAGTTAAATCAGAACCTCTGGTGGGAGGACTGTGCACAAGATAAACCAGGTCTCAAGATCAGTACTGCAGTCAACTGTCTACCCTATTCGTTCATTCAGTGACTAAATGGATGCTTACACAGTGCTGTGGAGAGGTGGCCAGGGCAGCAGTGGTTTAGAGAGGCACTGGAGGAGGGAGAGAAGGAAACAGCTCATATTCTCAGAGTGGGTGCTGGTGGACACTATACCTGAATGTCACCCCCTATCTTTGGTCCTGCAGCAGGCAGTAAAGATGGGAAAATGGGCATCTAGGGGCAGTTACATAATTTGCAAGGTCACAGGCCTCCAAAGAGTTAGAGCTGGAATTTAAATCCAGATATATTTTGGGTAGCCAATATTTGCAAATGAAAGTACAGAGGGAACCATGGTAATAACACCAAGAACCCGGTGTCACAGGAAGAGACACAGTGACAACTCACGTGTGCGCCCTGAGTCCCCAGGAGGTTGTTCTGCAGAACCTTGGTTGTGTACTGTTCTAACTCTTCCTGAATTTCAAAGGCAGAAGGATCAGCATTTTCTTCCAGAAACTGAAAACAAAAAGAAAAACTGTATTATCAGAGCAAAGAAAGCACATGTCTGACGTGCAGCTCCGTCAGGCACACTCTGCCAGGGCGAAGAGCGAGCCTGGAGGAAGAGCAGCACATGATGCCACACTGCACCTCAGAGCAGGGAGGCGCTGTGACATCCCAGAACACCTGCTTCCAGCACAGATGAGTTGGTTCCACAGAGCAAATCAGCATAAACCACGACTGCAAAGGACCAAGACGAATATGATGGCTTTGTAATCTTAACCCTCTGAGGTCCTAACAGGACAAACTGAAGGGAAAACAGAAACCTGGCAAGGTCACAGAGAACATGGGCATGGCTGAGCACTCTGCCTCCAAGGAAGATATGGACATAGAAGTCCACAAGGCTCCCTGGTGCTATGATATGACAGCACTTGGCACATTTTCCAATTAGCAAATTCTGACACCCTCAAAAAGTGCAAGAGACAGTGATCAAAGCCTAGAGCCAATGCCAGGACAGAAATCTACCGGACATCGGCCGCGACACACAGTAAGAGAGGACCCAAGGGCCACCCCCTTAGGATCCCCAGCCCTCACACAATCACTCAGGTAGTCCAGGGGAGCCTTAAGCTCTGAGCCTGAACTAGAACAGTACAGGTTGGCAGTACGGCCAAACACACGGCAGAAGCAACCAGACACCTCTCTGGAGGAAAGCAGCAGCATCCCAGGCCTCGAACTCTTTCCTGACAGATCTCTAAATACATCCAAAGTCAAAAATCACTGCAGAAGGACAGGGAAGAAGAGGGGGTTTCTGAATGTGGGCAATATCTTCATTTTGTAAACGATCACATTTTTATGTGCATATTTTTAAAAAGAATTTCAAAGACAGTAGATACCTCAAGTAATTTAGTGCATATAAATTTAAAACTTTAGATGAGATGAACAAATCCCTAGAAAAATGCAACTTACTTAGAGTAAGTTTTAAGTAGAGTAAAGGTTTAAGAACCACCCCCCTTGGACAAATTTGACCCTGGGTTACCTTTTTAGCTCTGTTCCCCTGGAAATGTGGCTAAATGTAGAAATGTAACTTGTGTTACTAGGCAATACTGCTGAGGGCAAAAATGACTCCAACTGGTTGGGACTGCATCTGGACTAGAAAGATGATGACCTAGAGCAACATCCCCTAGCCTCCCTAACTAGGCATGTCCTTGGGGGGGGGGGGGTTCCCGGCAGCTCAGCCCACAGAACTCTGAAGACATTGCTTCCTCTTGGGGCATGGAGTTTCTAGGTCAGGTGGCTCCCAGAGCCACAGCTGGGGTCTTGTTTTGCTACTCTACAGTCAAGTGGAGATGACTGTAGGACATTGCCAAGGAGAAATGCCCAGTACTATCTTGCTGACACACGGTGAGTCCAATCTTCCACAAACTCTCCCTGAGCATTTTAGGGAGAGRGATTCCTTAACTCATTTTAAGGCTGAGAAAAATCTACATTTCCAAATTCAAAAGGCCAATATGTGAAAGCAAATTGACAAACCAATCTCACTCATGATTATTAATGCAAAAATCATAAAGAAAATATTAGGAAACCCAATCCAGTAATATATATAAAAAGAAATACATCAAGAACAAGCTGAGTTTATGCCAGGAATCCAAAGTCACCATTAGAAAGGAATCAAGTAATTTCACCATGTTACTTAGTTAAAAGAATAAGGAAGCAGTTGGAGATACTATTGCCCATTTTCCTATAGAAATGGAATGGAGAAGTTGACTGTGGAAGTGTAACAATGTCTACTTTATGCTTTGAAAGTAGCCCCTGCTGCTCTGCCACTGCAACAGACTTTTTAATGAATGTCAACTCCAACAGAGAGCACAGGGAATGCAGCCTTTGAGTCACCTCTTTAAAAGCCCCATGTTCCCACTAATGCGCAGAATCACATCCTTTGGAACAGAAGTCCCCTGTGTTTCTTCTTTCCTAGCAAAGTAATAAACCTTCTTTTCCTTTTTCTCAAAAACAAAACAAAACAAAACAACAACAACAAAAAAAACAGAAAACAAATAAAAAAAACAGCAAAGCAAAAAAACTTGCAAATCAGTAAATTGAAATTAATAAAACACTACCACCTAATCCTCAGATACCATTCAAGTTTTGTCAGTTCAGCAATAGCATCCTTGTATAGCAAAAAGCATCCTGTTCTGGGCTGGGTTGTGGCTCAGTGACAGAGCACTTCCCTCACACATGTGAGGCATGTGAGGCACTAGGTTTGATCCTCACTACCACATGAAAATAAACACACAAATAAAGATATTGTGTCCATGCACAACCAAAAAAAAAATTAAAGAAAAAAAAAAGCATTCCGTTCTGAGCCACCTGTTACACTCCTTGTCACGTTTCGAATCTCTCCCTCTCAACAGCTCCTCAGTCTCTGAAGGCACTGAGGCTTCTGCGCATTACAGGCAAGGTCCATGACTGTACTTCAATTCAGGTACAGTATATTTCCTCAGGGTCAAGGTCAGCCGGGCCATCTTGGCAGAACACCCAGAAGCACCATCCTTCTCCCTACGTGAGGGAGTGCCGACCTCCCCTACTGTGGAGCCCCTGCTCCCCAGCCTCTGCTGTTACTGAAGACGATGGCGTGGTGCTTGAGTGTATGAGGGCCCAGGACTTGCACTTCAGACACTCACTCTTCCACTTACACCAGTGAGAACTCATGGGTTCCTATTCCATTCCATGTGTTGAAATCATTTACTATTGTCACTTATTTTTGTTAGAATTGTCCCAGATTCAGCTAATGTGTGCCTTTGTGTGCTCTGACGTGTTCCCCTTACGCTCTGAGCACGATCGTGCTCTCTGGCACTTGCCGTCCCAGCCTCAGGATGGCCATCTCTTCAGAGGCCCTGTCAGCAGGGCATGGTCTCGTGCTACATGTGTGCATGCGACCACACTCCAGACCTCTGAGAGGCAAACCACGTAGCACCGGCAAGCACACGCACGCACGCGCACACACACATCTGATCTCCACACTGCAGGACGAACTCTAGCTTCCTGCTCTCCCTGACAGGGGAAATGCAGCCGGCACTATCCTTCACTTCCCATTGATCTGATCAACCCCTTTCCATGCACACGACCCTCTCCCATGGCTGCTACCACCCTCTTCTGTGTGGAACCCCCATATCCACGCCAATCCAACCCCTTAGCCGGCCTCTTCCTTACCCTCTTTGGGGTCACCACACAGGTACCTTTTCACTGACCTGGCCTTATATCACATGCTGACCCTTTATTCCAAATGAACATCCCTCACCCTGTCTGAGCACTGGCATTCCTTGCAGGGCTGCCCACACATACAGGGACCCCTTCTAGCTCTGTAGGCCAATGCTTGTGCTAGATGCCCCCAGAGTGCTTTCCTCTCCTGCTGGAGGGTACACTTCTACCCTGGGCCCCGCCACTGTGGAGGCACTTTGTTCTGCCCTCCTAGAGTCTTCAGGACTTCAGTACTCAAGAGGAGTGCGAAGGAAAGGCCAGCGCCTTCTCTTTGTGAGAACAAACAAGATGAGGACGTCCACTACCTCTTCAACCTGGTAACACAGACAGCCACCGGAGCAAGGTACACCAGAGAAACAAAGCAGATTTTGCAGGTGATGTGACTGCGCTTAAAATCTGAAAGCAGCTACAGGAAAAGTATTAAAATTGATAAAACAATTCTGAAAGGTTTCTTCAAATGAAAATTAATAGTATTTTGGTATTCTAACACAGAAAATGAAATTTTTAACAAGGTTTTTAAAATAGCACCAGAAAGCCTACATTAAATACCAATTATGAAAGGAAAAAAACACTCTTTGCAGCACAGAGACCTGGGGATCCCCACCTTATCCCGAAATAGCCACACAGCACAAGCATCAGTGGAATAACCTGACGCCATACATCCCCCGAAACAACACAATACAAACTCTCCCCGGTCCTGGTGATTGCACTCTTACCAGAGGCCAATCTAATGAGGAATAATCTGACAAATCAGAGTGTTAGAAATGCTGTGGGACAGCTGCCCCAGAATCTTCAAAAAAATTCACCATCACAAAAAAGAATTTCCTACATTAGAATGTTCTACAGCCCAAAGGGCTGTAATAATCAAAAGGCCTGGGTCCCTTCAGGATCCTGGGTCCCGGCAGGAGATGGCTCACTATACCACCTCTCCCTGTTGTCCTCATTAACACTACTCTGACCACTGTAGAGCCTCAGTTCTTATGCCTAGCTCCTGTAACCCAGTTATAAAGATCACATATTCTGGGGACTAGCAGGGTGGCAATTAGGGACACCATACAAACATCTCAGTTCCCACCATCTGGCTTTCTGCATTCCCATGGCCACCACTTTCCACGTACCCTGCTCAGAATTCGCTCCAGCTCATAGACTGCTTGTAGGGCCCCAACTTCCAGAACTCTCAGCTGGCAGACCAAGAGGTGAACCACAGCCCGGGGACAAGTCAGCATGTGGCAGTTTAAACAGGAGCCTCGGAGGAGCAGGTAGAGTTTCTGAAAAGAGAGGATAAAAAGATACAAGACATTAAAAAGAGAAAAGTGCTCACGGGATTCCCAGGGCACTCACAAGATTCCGCTCCCTTAAGAATGCCACAGCAGCCTAGACATGTAGAAAGGCCTTTCTGAAACTAATTAAATGTTCTCCTCTCTTTTTTTAAGATTTCATTTTAACCCATTAAAAATTGAAATTTACTTCCTAAGATGTATAGCCTGAGGTTGGGAATTACTTTAACTCAACTACTTAGCAGAAACAACTTTTCTTAACAGATTAACAGACAAATCACATCCACGTACGCCACCACCTCAGCTTAAAAAACACTCCTGGAGGTTGGGTTAGCTGATGTAAAGAGCTAAACATACACCCTAGACAGTAGCTCCATTTTCATCTAACTCCTGGGCTTCCTGGGGCTTTGCTTCTCCTGCCACTGAACAAGACCCTACAGACTCACCAGAAGGACTCAAAAGCCTTTCCACTCAAGTTCCCTGTTACTAGGAAGAGCCACGCAGGTTTTTGAAAGGCACAAAGGCCCTGTAACAAAAGTTGCAGAAGGTAAATCTGAACATTTTCCCCCTAAGTGAATAGAATCATGCTGTGGTTCTTCTCAATTGGAATCAAGCTGAAATTTCAGTTAGGGCTACAGGTAAAATGAAGCTAGAGACTAAGTAGCATCCCTAATCCAAAAATCCCAAAGTCAACACTTTTTGAGTACCAACATGAGACCAGAAGGGGAAAATTCCACATCTGACCTCATGTGACAGGTCACAGTTAAAACACAGGCATTTTAGAAACACTTCATGAAATTGTCTTTAGGCTGTACATACAAGGTGCATGTAAAACATGAATGAACTTCATGTTTAGACTTGGAGGCCATCCCCAAGAGGTCTCAACACGTATGTGCAAATGTTCCAAAATCTGAGAGTAAAATCCACAGCACTTTTGGTCCCAAGAATTTCATAAAAAGGACCCTGATCTGTGTTGCATTTTGCTATTCAAGGTACTCCCTTTCTTTCTAGAGAACACTTGAACTCACAGTATAGGAATGCAACCTCCTCCCACACACCCTGCTGGGGAGATGAGGCCCTCACAATCCCATCAGCACACAATCCCAAGACCCATGCGCCCTGGGCAGCACATACATCAAAGAGGAGCGGGTTGTACACTGTGAGTGGCAGTTCGATGTGGCCTAGGTGTCCGGAGCAGTTGTTAAAATCTTGCACACAGGTGGAGCACACCTCTTTGGAATCCGCAGGGCCCAAAGCTAAGTCATACAGGCCGTTTGCTGATGGGTTCCCCAAGCTGTCCAGGTACCGAGGGTTTGTGATGGATTTAACGCTTAATTTCCTAAGGAGATAAAAGAAATCAAGAAAAACTCAGGTCACCAAGTGCTGAGCATAGCTCCTCTAGCCATTCACTCACACACTCAACAAGCACCTACTGAATGTTTACCATGGGCCAGATGTAGGTTTGGGTGCTGGGTAACAGACAAGAATGCCTGCTTGTAGGCCTTCCATTCTAATGGGGGGAAGAGACAGAAAATGCTGGAGAAAATAACGCAAGGGAGGGAAGACAAACAATGCAGGGGTAGGCCAGTGGCCAGAAAAGCCCACGCCAAAGAGATACCTGGGCAAACGCCTGAAATAGATGAGGAAGCAAATGCAGTCACTGAGCAGAGAGGGCTTTATAGAAACAGCAGGAAAGTGCAGACATTCTGAAGGGGGTGCATGGTGGGATAGGAGGCCAGGGTACCTGGAAGAGAGGTGAGGTCAAGGACCAGAAGAGTAGAACGACCCTTCCAGGTAATTTTAAGGACTTGACATTTACTCTGATTGAAAGCTGCTAAAATATAACATGACATGATTAGAATTTCCAGGCTAGCACATTATTATCATTGATACCTGTAGCTCGGGAGTTTGTTTATCTTTTTATTCAACCAGATTCAAGGATAAAAACTGAATAAGACTGAGATGGAAAGCTACAGAGCAAAACGTTGGTTGCCAAAAAATAGAGGGAGAGGGGCATGAGGAGCGATTGTATAACAGCTGTATTAGCTTTACATTCAACTCCAAATCCAAACATGTCTGATCTTAGCAATGGATATAAATTTGCTTATGCTCTTCTCTGAAAACTCCACAATTATCTTTTGAAGAATTCAAGCAACCTAAAACATTTTTGCTTTTGGATGAAACTGTACTACAATTTCTGGGTGAGCATGTTACTGACTAGACTGGTAGCTCAGGAATTCATCCATGCATTCAACCAGACTGGAGGATAAAAGAAAGGAAGGAGACATACAGGATATTCAAGGATAGAGAAAAGAACCGAATATAAACATGCATGGAAAGTAGGCAGGACACACAGATCTCAGAAAAAAAAGGACACTAAACCAAGACCTTAGGCTTGGTGGGGACAGAGTGAAGTGAGTCCCTCTGGCTAAAAGGATGTTGCATGCAGAGGAAACAGCTTGAAGATGCTGAAATATGACAGCAGTTTCTGCAGTATCCAAGAGGTCCAGGAGGGCTAGAAAAGGGTCATGCCATAGCTAAAAATCAGCATTGGACTAATCATAGGAGTCTAAGTGAGCTATGCTAAGAAAGTAACTTTTATCTGAGGGCAACAGAAAACCTTTGGAGAGTTTTAAGGCTAACAGTAGTATGATTACATTTACACTCTGAAAGAATAATTCTGACTGTAACTTGAAGGGATTGGATAGGCATCAGGGTGAAGAGGAGAAGGTGGGAGAAAAAGAATTCAAATTCCTTAGAAAAGAATTCCTAATTTCTTAGTTTAGGAAAGGATCTAGTCTAAGGCAAAGGCAATGGGGGTGAAAAGAAGGATGACAAATATGCAGGTCACACACTGCAAGAGTTCAGTAAGAAAACTACGCATCAGGACAGAGGTATCACCATTTTGGAGATGCAGGTTTCCCTCAGCTGGAAGTGGGGAATGAATGTTGATTTTTTTGATGTTTGAGTTTAAGATCTCTGTGAAATTCAAATATTTATTCAGAAACAGCGCTCAGTAAATGGGAAATCAGGTGACTTATCAGGAAGACGTTTGCGCTGGAGATTTAAATTTGAGTCCCAGTAGTGAAAGTGTTGACACTGTATAGGGGGCAATATTTACAAAAAAAGAAAAGTGACCAGAGGAGGACCTCCGGGGACGCCAACATTCATTCCCCAGTGAGTGGTTCGCGCCGCGGTGCGCGACGAGCGCACGTGGACGCTGGGAAGCGTCAGTGGGCGGACAAGCTGACCACGAAGCAGGGACCGCAGAGGTACTTCTCATGAAAGGAAAAGGAGGACGTGTTCAGAGTATAGTCGCGAGTTGGAATGCTACGGTCCCGACCCGGCGGCCAGGCGGGACACGCGGCGGGGTGCTGGCAAAGCGTGATGGCTGGAGCCAGCCCCGCAGGGTGCCCTGACAGGGAACGGAGCCGACGCGAAGCCCACCCGCAGCCCGCCCGCCTACCTGAGCTCCTCGGCCGAATACATCCCGAAGGAAACGCCCTGCAGCCGCCGCCAGGGCGTGTGCCTGGAGCCCGACATCCTTGCCAGCGCGATGCCGGGGTACCTCAGCGGACTCCCTCCCAGACTCTGGTCGGCAGCCAAGCTGCGGTTCTTACTGCGCATGCGCGGACCCGGCCTCCGGAGCCTGCGCGGACGACACCACTCCCGCTGCGGGGGGGACAGGCAGAATGGCTTCGGATTCCGACCCCATTTTACCTTGAAAACAGCCAAAGAGACGCAAGACGTTGAGGAACTACTTTAAGAAATTCCTTGGAGGCCAGTGAGGCGCTCTGACTCCGCTCTGTAGATGGCCTCCCAGCCGAGGGTGCAAGCGCCCCCCTTCCCGGTGGCGCTTCCTGCTTCCCAGGCCCGGGTCGGGGGCGCGCTTTCCCAGCACGCTCTGCGAGGCGGCGGGATGGCGGCGGCGGCTTCTGCGCGCTGTCTGAGCGTCCGCGGCGCCCTTCGTCTTTCTCTGCGGGGTCGGTGGGCGGGCGTGTGTGAGCCGGAACGCGGCTACAGGTGAGAGCATTGCGGGTCATCCACGAGGGAGGCCTGGATCAAGCTGGCCCGGCTTCCCCTGGGGCTGCGGGGTCGGCGGCACTGACGGCGAGCGCATGCGCGAGCTTGGGGGCGCGCGGTTGGCTCTTTGCAATCCCGCGGCCAGCACCTGCGCAGAGCAGGGGACTCCTGGCGTGGATGGCCGCGCAGTGGGGGACTGCTGCCAGACTCCCGAGTTAGGAAGTCGCCGTCACGCCGCAGTTCAGCCGCGGCGCGAGGATCCCGAGCACTAGTAGGCGTTCCCGAGTGAGGGAGCCGTCGGCGGCGACCACGTGCGCTGCACCGCCGCGGGACCTCGACGAGGAACTCATCCGCCTTTATAAAAACGGAAAAGCCCCAAATGCCTGGTCACATAACGTTTCGGTCTGGGAGCAGGGCTGAGACACGCGGCTGTCCACGTAACCGCTGAGCTCAGTACACAGGTGGCTCGTAGAAATGAGAGGCCGTCCCGAGGGGCGAGAACCCGAGGGAGGCCTGTTTGCTTTACCTGGTGGCTGATGTGAGGGATTGAATTAGGACCTCACGCTCGCCCGCGGAGCTGTCCCACCCCAGCCCAAGAAAAGCCTGATGTTAGATTCGATATTTGCGTTTTCCCAGGTTGGATAATAGACAGATTTTCTGATGAGTGGATTGTAGCTAATTAGAACCATCGGAAAAAATTCTGCGGAATAAATGGGATTTGTAACTTACCATGTGTGTTTTACATGTCCTTTCCTCAATTACCCTCAAATAGGAGGAGTCACCTCTACTGGTGTTGCAGAACCTTCCGCGATTCAATCCTAGCGCTTGTTTTCCTGCTCTTGCCTAGAGTTGACATTCTTCTGTCTGTTTTCTTTGCCTGACACAGCACCTGCCTTTAGCACTGATGGTCAAGGCAATACTGATCTCTCGTTCAGAAATGATGTGGTTGGAAAACAAAATAATCCTTTTCTGAAACATCCTTAGCATAGAGAGGTAATATTTTAAAATGATGCCTGAGACAGACACTCAAAGAGGAAGTTTTTTTTGTTTTTTTTTTTTAATGTTATCCCAGTTTACTTATCTAGGTAGTTTGGATGCTGTTTAAGAAGGGAATTTCAAAGCTGGGCCACGTGGCACAAGCCTGTAGCACATGAGGCTGAGGTAGGGAGATCATGGTTTTGAGACCAGCATGGGCAACTTAAACCCTGTCTCAAAGTTTAAAACAAAATGAAAGGAGTCGACCAGTAGCTTTGTGGTATAGAGCCCTGGTTTCAATCCCCAGTATGCAAAAACCAAAAAACCCACAGGATAATATCAGCTGTGCATACTGTCTATATGGTGTTGATTAATTTCTTAATATGTTAATAAAGTAGAAATATGGTTATCCTGAATGAGAATGAGACATTTGAAAATTGAATCAAGCGTCAGTGATTCTGTATTTGGGGTAAATAACAATTTCTGAGTCTCTGGGAAGCTGTCAGCAGTTCCAAGTCTAAATTATGCCTCATATATTTAGTATGTTCTTGGTTGTTGAAGAAAGTGGAGTATAAGATCATTGGTGATCTTAGCTTTGCCATGATTGAATGCTACAAAGAGGTAGGCCTGTTTATAAGGGCAAGATCACTAAATTGTTCCTCTTAACCTCAAAATATTATGAGTCCCCAGAGTTAAAGTACCTTGTATCTTAAACCAGCTGCTTAGATTGTTTAGTGCTATTAAAAATTTCTCTTTTTTTTTCTAATTTTTTATGACGAAATTTCTTGCTTCAAAAAATTCTGTTTTGTGTCTGTATCTTGTACTCATTCTCTGGTAATAGTGCCACATGCTGATTAGGCCATGTCTTCTTGGCATACATTGACTTATACATAGAGTTATCCAGTCTGTTGGATCCATGGTAACTGGAAAATTTGGGCTCAAAATGCACATAAGTGAGGGTAAGCTAATTGATTGACGAGCATTAGCTTTCAGGTTTTTATTTTTTGCAGATTTTATTCTAAGAGTGCAGCCCTACCAAAGGATGAAGGAACTGATGTAACAGGTATGTTTAAGAAAACTATTGAAGTAGTTCCAATTTTTAATCCACATGTTGTATTTTGTTGTAGTTATAATAGTAGGAAACTGATTCATTTTTTTCTTCTTCTCATTAAGGAATTGAACAAGTAGTCATTCCAAAGAAGAAAACTTGGTAAATATTCAATTGGTGTTCATTCCATAAGTGATTGTGTGCTTAGTGTGAGTGGGACGGAGGGAGGGTCAGTTTCGGAGTGGTGATGCGGAGTGCTAAGGGAGTAGCCAGAGGGGAGAGACCTGGGAGTGTGAAGGACAGACAGAAAGATGGGTGGAGAGCGAAGAATGAGATTGATTTAGGCATTCAGAGACCTTCTGAACTGTCTGAGCTAGTGTGTACAGAACAGTGGTTAATCACGAGTTTCAATATTAGATCAATCTCTTTTTTTAAGTGAGTTCTCTCTCAGGTGGTTGGGAAACCAGACAGAAGTTAGCTCTTTTATTCACTGGGTAGATCTTTAAACAGATTGCCTTGTATCGCTTACACAGCAATTGTTGAATATGTAAGAACTGAAACTTCTCAATACTGCTTGTTGTAATGTGATTTTGTTGAATACACTTAAAGGTGCCTCAAAAAGCCAAGTCTTAGAATTCTGACTGTAACTTAAAGACTCAGGTTCATTTAAAAAAAAAAAAAAAGGCTTTGTTAAATTACAAAAGTAAGCAAGGTCATGGTCAAAAGAGGAATGGAGTGATAGCTCTAACATGCAAAAAGGAAACAGAATCACTGACAGTCCCACGTCGCTCAACTTCCTGCCAGAGTGGAGTGTGAATAACCATAGTGCTCACCTAAGGGGTTAAAAGGGCATTGCAAACAGTGCTTGTTGCAGAGATGGCTGTTTCCAGTGTTGCATTGTGGTCTTTTTTTTATATAAGCTGAGCGTGTGACTTTAGAATTGAACCGTTAGATGTGATTTTTATTCTCGGCCTTTAATTTTTAGCAGCCATGTAGTATTTCACTATATAGATACACTAAAGTTCACTTCTGTCTTCCCTGGACCAAAAATCAGAACCAAGAGAAGAATGTAGTTATCCACAAATGAGACATTCCCCCAAGGGCATTAAAGTCGGAAGCCCTTGACCCATTTTACCTCCTGGCCCGAGGAGTGACCTGCAGGAAGTCCAGAACAGGGAGCTTTCAGAGGGTGTGCTGCAACCTTGCTGAGCCACCTTCACATGTTTCACCAAGTAGTCCTGTCAGTGTGGACCATGCACAGAGTTAGAGGGATGTGGAATGTGATATCCAGAGTGGGCATGTTGTGCTCATTGCGTTGGTTTCTTTTGAAAATGTAGACATTTACCAGTGTCTTCGAATGGGTGGAGTCATCTTATTGGCATCAGAATCACCTAGGGATTTTGCTAAAAATGCATATTCCTGCCAGTAGTTCTTATGGATCATAAAGTATGTGGCCCACAGATACAGAGGCCAGCAAGGCAGGGGTATGTGATTGTGATGCACCTAGAGGTCGGAGTCCAGGCCAGCCTGGGGAGAAGGTGCCAATAGAACAGGGAAATGAGGGGTGCACTGGTCAGCAGACTAAAGCCAGATTTTGTGTTTTCCAAGTTGGAAATGATTTTTATGTTTTCATACAGTTGGGAATATCAAAAGAAGACAAGGTAACATAAAAATTACATGAGACTCAAATTCATGATACATGCTTTGGGCAGCACAATCTCACTTATTTACATATTATCTGACTGCTTTTATGCCACACTGGCAGAGCTGAGAAGTTTAGACAGTACCCTTTGGCTCCCAAAGCCCCAAATCTGTATTCTGTCGCTTTACCCAAAAAGTGCTTCGTTCCTGCTAGAGCCTCTGACTTCCAGGTCAGGACTCCATGTTTTTAGGACAAATTCTTGTTGCCTGATTGTAGAGATGAGGCATTTTAAGGCTCTGATTTCCCAGATCACACAAGTGTCTAGAAGACTTTGATAAATTGTTGAGAGTAATGGTGAGTGAGTGTATGTGAATGTGATGCAATAAAGGCAGTGTTCTGAATGGGTTAATCTGAACTGGGCACTTATTTTAGAGAGAGTGGGAGCCAATTATGATTAGTGCATAGGCAACTGGACTCATTGAAGAAATGTAATTTAAAACCTATTAGATTAGCAAGGAGAGGATTTAGAGAGATGAGAGCTACATATATTTATTGATGGACCAGAAAATTGGAATGACTGGAGGGAAATTTTTTTGAGTCAAAATTTTTAAATGTGAACACTGATTGGCAAGAAGTACACTTGTGTATATACCCAGAGATGTGAGTGAACATATTCTCCATACCTGGGAATAGTAGCAAATTGAGACAACCTGCATGCCCATCGATGACTGAGTAGTAAAAATGGTCATCATGTGATGTGACATTTAAAGGAATTAATTAGGTCTGTTGTGCCAGGAATAGTACATTCGAACTTTTATAAYGTGCAAAGTGACATGATTTTTCTTTTATGGATATATGTGTGTGTAAAAGTACCTATGAAAATCCTGGGATTATACCAGCCTCGTG